ATAGAATATTTGCAATTGAGGTAGGTATACATTGAAACGAATGAGTAAAACCTGAAACTTTATTATCGATACGTTTACAGCAAACTCATTTGATGAAAGACTTGGGCGCTCACTCGTCGCTGCTGTCGCTGGAAGAATCTAAAACCAATTACTCAAATAGAAGTTTTTTTCGAAAATAAGGGCGAGGAATTCTTACCAGAGCTGCTGTCGTCGTCAGCTTGAGCTGAAAAAAACATATCGTGAGCAAATGTTCCACGAATTTGTTAAATTTATGTACTATGTTATTATTGCATTTAAAAATTTGATATTGTTGAACTTTTGGAGAGTTTTTGCTTTTCATCATATGTATATTTGATGTATTGTTCGTTCCTGGCCTTTAGGTATCTTATCTATTTTCGACTCACCTTTGGTTGTCGCTGCTCTTCGCACTCTTCCGCCTACCAAGTCGCTGCTTGGAAGGATAGCCTCTTGTAAGCTACGCTGGTACATTGCTGAAAAATGTCGGAAAATTAGTTTCCCCAGCCTCTGCGATCGTACACTTACATTTGAATAAAGCTGGATCGGCGAACGATGGATGGGACAGTTGCGATTGGACTGGCCTGGGGTTTGCGTTCAGGACACCCTAGAACAAATAATAAGTAAATTAACCCGAACCTTAAGGATTTCTCACCAGGGTCGCTATGGAAACCGTGAATGCGAATAGCAAAGAACCGATCATTTCGTTGACGTTGTCGGTAGACTTTTTTGGATAGGTAAAAGCGTTTCGTTAAATAAACATTCTGCCATAATATATATATTATCCTATACGCCGACAACTGGTGATCGTTGAATCGGATGTGTATTTTTTTTATTTAAAATTATGGGAATTATGACAATCAGGAAGTAGCCAATGTAAGTTATATAATATTAATTTTGATAATGAAGAAATAAACTAACCGTCATACCCTAAATGCGTTGCTGTTTATTTACTGCCTTTTCACATCACTGAAGCACGATCCACCGATTTTAATAAGTTTAGGTTAGATCTCCTAAATCTAATGAAATACAATTACATTTCAAATTTAAAATAACAATAAAAATAAAAATTAAAACTACAGGATTAATAATCTAACTTTGATTGCGGAACGCAGTTCTATGCTCCTTTTCTTAATTTGAGAGAGTTATAAATGATTATATATTTATATATAATAACTTGCGGATAGATTAAAAACTCAGATAACAAAAACAAATGTCTATAGTAAATGAAATTAAAGGAAAACATGGTAATAAAGGCTTGGAAATTGAAGGTAAAGTCTGTTCATAGATATAAGAAAGTGACTCACTGATACGAATTAAGAAAAGACCCAGGCAAGCTGTAAGAATGAAATATGGCCGAACCGATCCGCACTTTGCTTAGAATTTAATCATTTGGGGTTTTGTTAGGAAAGATACTAAACAATATGTATTTATTTATGTATGTATTTATGTTATCATCGCCAGTTCTAATTATTATTTGCAATATGGATATACGATTGTTCTGCTTTTTCTATATGTTTAACAGAATTTGCCAACTTTGTGGAGGGATGTTAAAGACTTCGGTTTCTATAAGTTTGAGGAGTTAACAAGGGGTAAAACATTGTTACGAATGGCAGATTTCAGTTGGTGCCAAACATATTCAATGGGATTAAATATACCTACAGTGGTAAGGTGGAAGCCTTAATACTATATGCCCTAGATTTTTTGCATAATTATCACAGACGTATTCCTTTTGTAGGTTCGGACTTTGTAGAACCTCAATTAATTGCTTTTTGATATAATCTTCGTGAACATAAATGTCGTTATTATACATTTAGTTTTGGATTGTTGCTTTTGTGTCACATGAGGAAGGGATTTTAGCCAACTGCCTACTGTGATAACTTGCATTGTCCATTACAATTACGCTATTAGGAGGAATGTTTGGAACTATTTTGTTTTTAAACCAATTTTCAAATAAATCCGCGGTCTTCATGGTAATATTTTTCGCAGACAGAGAAAGTCCATTTGGAATCCAACCATCTTGCAAAATAGTTATTCTTTTACCTCCTTTTGATGGCGCTTTTGTTTTACACTTATCAGTTGAGTCAACCCAACCCTTTTCCGGGGTATCATAAGTGTCGAACACTTCCATAAAGTAGTTCTGCCACATTTAACACCGGTTTCATCTCCCTCTTCTTCTAATTAAGATATCTAATGTAGACACGCTTTGTTCCTCGTGTAACCGGTAAATTTTGCGCCGTATGATATCTAGATCACTTTCATCTACCCTCGAGAAAATGTCAACATGGATTCTTTTTTTCTTCGCTGAAATGGGATTTTTCACAATTTTGCATACAGTTGATGTTGGAATTTCCGTCAATGTGGCCGTTTCTTCTAAAGACGCTTGCTTGCTGGCACCACTCAATAGAATAGTGTTTTCTACATTTGGGCGGGAGCATCTCCAGAGATACACTAGACTCGCACATATTTTGCATAATTCGCACACGATTCAACAGACGCTGTATTATTACGCACGAAATAAGAATGATTACTAATAAACTTAAACTAAGTAGTATACCAAACCAAAGAATATTAAACACAGGTAGGTATAAAATTATTTTCTAATACGGACGATAATTTTACCTGAATTTAAATTCCGAAATTTTAAGTAATTGCCTTGTTGCATTGTATGTTAATGACCACCCTTGGATAATCCCATTCAAAAGCAATTGGTCACTTTCTTATATCCATAAACAGACTATAACAAAGAGATTTTAGTAAATAATTTTAATGAATTCATAATTTGTGTTACACCAAACTTGTTACAAGATTCAGAAAATGCAGTTTTTAGTTCGAACCTTGCATTTAATCAAACCGCAATAGTTCTACAACCAGTGGATGAAAAAGAAATTTGGGATATTGGTAAAAAATTGAAGAATAAATATAGTTGTGGCTACTATGCTGTTTCTACTAGTCTCATAACGTTTGTGTTGCCATTGATTCTTAAACCATTGGTATTTATAAAAAACACGCTAAGCTTTGGAACATTTCCAGATCAAGTTAAACCTGCACTGGTTGTCCCAATCTTTAAAAATGTTATCAGAACGACATGCTAAATTATCGCCTGCTCCCATCATTTTCTAAAATTTTCTAAAAAGTGATGCGTCATCGAATTTTAAACTTTAATAAATAATATGGAGCATCGATACTTGCCCGGCAGGACAACTCAAACAGCCTTTGTACAACTTATATTTGATGTTTTAGAAAGTGACTTTTGAATAAACTACATACATATGGAATAAGAGGAGTGGCTTTAAGGTGGGTGCAATCGTACCTTTTAAAAATAAAGCAGCAAATTGTAATGGGGACGGCTCAAAATCTCAGAAAAGAAAAACATTGCAAGTATACCGCAGGGCAGTATAATAGGGCCAATATTATTTCATTTTTATATTAACAATAGTGCAGAATTGCATTCAATTACCAAGCGATACCAATGTTCTAATTGTAAATAACAAACCTCAAAAATGATGTCAGCGGATAATTGGTTTACTAAGAATAAATTAATTATTAGTAATGCTAAAACTGCTGTAACAATTATCATTATAATGTATCTGAATTTTTGCTATACCAGGTGTGTTCAAAAAGTAAGGTGGCTTTTTAAGTTTTATCAAAAAATATTTATTTATTCATCAATATTAATGTTGTCTCCTTCAAAGTAATCCCCTCCAGATATAATACACATGTGCCAACGTTCTTCCCAACCCGCGAATATAAGAAAAATTAAAATTCAATATTTGTTTAAGAAGATTTGTAGGGTGTACAGCTAGTTTCATAAAAATCTGACATTTCTTAAAAATTCCACTTTACATTTCGAGCAGTATACGAGATGTGTGACATTTAAGTTATAATACACTTGTGCCAATGTTTTTTCCAATCCTCGAGGTACTTCTGGTAAGCACTTCCTGGTTGAGTTCTTTCAGCGATGTTTTCTTTATCTCCTCAATGGTTCCAAATCTCCTTCCTTTCATAGGTTTCTTGAGTTATGGGAACAGGAAAAAATTGCAGGGAGCCATATTCGTTGAATATCTTGGCTGAGGCATTACTGTTGTTTTGTTTTTGGCCAAAAAGTTAGACTCAAGCAACGTGATATAAAATCCATGAATTCTTTTAACATATTTGTATTGTTTCGGAGCATAACCCCAAGGTAATAATCTGTGCTGCTACACGTTTTATGTCCAAAACTTTGGAAAAAATTGTATGGCACGAGCCAATAAAGATGCTGACGTCTTCAACCACTGTTCTCGGCCATCTTGGAAGAGCTTGTACCATTTATAAACACTTTTTTTGCTCACAGTAAAGTCGCCATATGCCGTTGTCAACATTTCAAGTGTTTTGCAGCACTGTATTCCATTTTTTATACAATTTTTTTTGCAAATTCTTAAGGACAAGGATAACTTATAACAAGAGCAGCCAGGAGAAATTGCAGGAAATTTCTAGCATGGTCCTGCTTTTGAGAAGACCGTTACTATCGGGAACCTAAGAACATTTTCGGAAATAAATATCAGAATGACTGGGCATTATGTAACACTTTGATTCGTTGGACATCAATGCTGACTCTCATGATGACAGGCACTTCAGCAGTCAGCGGAGTTTTACTAAAATGATACAACCGGAAAAAAAATGAAAACATTAAAAAAGGAAGAATGTTACTTTGCGAACCTTTCAATAGCACCGAACGTTTTTGATGTTAATTTTAAATTTTATATAAAATCATAAAACCAAAATTGCAATAATTTGATAGATCAAACGATGTGTGCCGAAGTGACATGGAATAAATAATGCTAAATAATGCATTATACCCATAATAAAATACCAAAAACTGCATAGGGAAAAATATGCCTAACCATTATCCGAAATTACTTAATCACAGGTGTCGCGATTCCCAACGCATTTTGTAGATCGTAACAACCAATTACAAAAACAATTTTTCCACTATAAAACAAACACCCGAAAACGGATCGGGTTAAACAGTTCTTCGAGCAGATACGAAACTACCAAAATGAAATTGTTTGTGTTTGTACTTTGCGTGATGGTCCTGTTTTTGGTAAGACCAAACTGTAGTTCCGTCGATTTATATTGGCATTTATCAACATGCTTAGCGAAAGCAAAATTTTAATATTTTATAGTATGATCGCTGTCAACAGACATTTGGAAAAACAAAACATAGTGGGCTTTGAAAAAATAAATGTCCTTATTGACATTCAGTCGTTTCCTAGCCTGTACTATCGAGATATCTAACTCCTTCCGACTTTTATCTTTCGGTGCACTGATGTGCACCAACTTAATTTGGAAACAGAGGAAGAATTGCTTCAGCTAGTTTTAGTTACTTAACAACGTGCTAAATTCTCGACAGTTAGACCAATAATCGCCATTAGCCTCTTTTAACTCAACTTCGTCGTTAAACCGCCTTTTTCAAACATCCAAGCAAATAATAGTCGCTGGGGGCCATATCTGGACTATAGGGAGAATGATCTATCTGTTGGAACCCACACTCTAAAATAGCAGCTTGTGCAACACCAGCAGTATGGACAGGTGCATTATCGTGCAAAAGATGCACGCCTCTGGTCAGTTTTCCTCGACGTTTTACACGTATGCAGTCTTGCAATTTATGTAATATTGTTGCGTAATATTTACCATTGACAGTGGTATCATTAAAATCTATCAAAAGAATTCCTTCACAATCCCAAAAGATGGTGGCCATCACATTTTTTGTTGACTGGCAGACTTTGAACTTTCTTGGAGGTGCTTCACCCTTAGACGCGACTCCATTGATTTTTTTTTTCGATAGAGGGTCATAATAGAGAACCATAGTTTCATCTCCCGTCACAATCGTTTCTATGACAGGCTTCGGTTCCGACCCACGACGAATACTTGTATCAGAAAGCTTAGTAATTTCTGAGATTTAATTGACCTTTCAACGTCGATCACTCAATACCACCTCTTCCAAAATCGCAACAATATCTTCCGTTATGACCTCCACTTGTCGACCAGTTCTTGAATCATCTTCAAGCGACTCCTGCTGCATTCGAAAACGTTTTGCCCATTCTTTCAGTACAGAATACGAAGGAGAACTTTGGCCGTACACACCATCCAGCCTTTCTTTAATAATATTCCGTGCTAACCCTTCTTTTATCAAAAACTTTATGACTGCTCTATACTCAGTTTGCGTTAATAAAAAAGTAGTTGACGCAAGACTTCAATTTTTTTTTGGAGGCTACTAAGATAAATATTTAAAAGAAGACAAAAGTGTTATCGTGACATTGGATTTGCATCTATGTCAGGCCGGGAAATTTTGGCGCTAACCTCGTAAATATACACACACCAATAGCACCTTACATAAAAGAGAATTTTTACTATTTCATTTAGGGAGAAAATCAGGCTCAAGCTCAGGGTCAGGGCTACGCCAGTGGTGGCGGTAACGCCGGAGGCAGTGCAGGGGGCAGCGCTGGAGGTCAAGCCGGTGTTGGCGGTGGATTTGGGTTTGGTTTCGATGTCGGAGGTGGGGCGGGGGCGGGCGGAAACGCGGGGGCTGGAGGCGGCGCTGGTAAAAAATAAATAAAACTCCGATAGCGGAATGGGCAGTATGAGGCGACAACGTAGATTAAATTTGATTTTGTTTCGATAAAATTCAATAAAAGTTGTAAAAAACTTCAGTTTTTTATTCAATTTCATTAGAAGAGATACACAATTAAAATATGTAGTGATGTAAAGCTGTAATCTGGTTAACTACTTTTCCGTTTGGTTCGGTTGGTTTTTCTCAGGTTAGCTGGTCATCATGTACGCTGGAACGAGCAAATAGCTCAACTTAAAAAAATTGAATTTTAAAAATACGATATGAAGACCCGATGTGATGCATTGGAGTAACTAACTGGGAAGTGCTAATTCCTCCTATTTTAAGCACTTGGAAATAATACAAAAATGGATGCTTAAGGTAATAAATACATAGAATAGAAAAAGTTGACTAAACGACCAGCATGATGATTCATTAAAGAAAAATGCACCTACTATTTGGTCTCCCAAAATCACACACCAGACACATTCACTTTCTGGGAATATCTGTAACTATACCATTTATAGCCCAGTCGAGATTATCTCTGGCCCAGTATCCACAATTTTGCGATGACACTACCAGTGCATCTAATTACCTGTTTTTATAGGACTTGATTTTGTGAAGGATGCCATTTTCATGTATTTTAATAACACCAGTTTTTCGTTTTTTCGTTTAAACTCAATGGCATTTTAGTTCGGTGATCATTAAATAGAACTCAATGTAATCAACCGGAAGTTTAATCTGATTGATATTAACTATTTCACAACGGTCAAATTACTACTTTCGGTGGCACATCAGTATACCGACTAAAAAAATTAACATAAAATAATAAGGAAATTAAAAATGAGACTTTTTCATGAAATTTGGTATGCTGGGAACGACTTTTTCAAATAACTTTCTCCGCTATTCTCTATCGCGAAGCAAAATAAGGAAAATTAACATTGTGGGTTAGCAGCAGGCCGCGTTTAAGATTTAAATTTCGGTTCAGTATCCTGTGAACCTTCAGCCTGCATGACCGTGCGAAACTTCTGTATTTATTTAGATGGCCAAAATATAGAGATGCCTTCATCTTAAATGCAGCACACTGTATATTATTTTACAAATTTAATACTTTCTATATATTATCTCAAGAATCTGCAATAAATGAGGATGAAAAAACTCTAAAAACTAACCAAAACTGAAAACAGAAAATCATTTAATAAATCATCGAATAAATATGGATTGTTTTACTTTAAATGTGCAAAGATTCTAAAAAATATATTTTTAAATATTATCTGTTATAGCAGTTTTCACTTAAGTTTTCAATTTTATTTCTTTTATAAGGATAACCAATTAACGATAAATTGGTTAAGGCTTTCGCGGCCCGTTGATGAGCTATTATCTTGATTCGGGTTTAAAGGCCGTCGTCGGTTGGAATTACTTCCTAACGTTTCGCTAGCACGAGTGGCGAGCTTCTTCAGAGGTCCTTCCATCTCCGATGTTGGACGTAGACTGACGATTTCTCCTGCGCAGGTTGTATTTATGCCGATTGGTGGAGGGCGGGGCTTGTTCCGCTTCGGTTGGTCTCCGGATATCGATCGGTACTGCTCGGGCGTTCCTAAGGATCGGGTTCCAGATTTGGTTGAGTCTAAGGGTCTCCTCCTTTCTGTTGAAATTGTGTGGGTGTTTTTGTATCTCAATGGCTTCCCTGACTAGTCTGTTGTGATAGCCGTTGACCGATGCTAGTAACTTACAGCTCTCAAAGTGTATCCTGTGTTCCCCGCTGTCCAGTGCGTGTTCAGCTACTGCAGACTTCTCTGTCTGACTAGGACGGACAGAGAAGTACCGATCGATATCCCGAGACCAACCGAAGCGGAACAAGCCCCGCCCACTACCAATCGGCATAAATACAACCTGCGCAGGAGAAATCATCAGTCTATGTCCAACATCGGAGATGGAAGGACCTCTGAAGAAGCTCGCCACTCGTGCTAGCGAAACGTTAGGAAGTAATTCCAACCGACGACGGCCTTTAAATCCGAATCAAGATAATAGCTAACCAATTAACATTTTGTATAGAAGTGCTGTTTTGAAAAATGTCCACTGATGCAACATATGCAGCTAGACAAATTCAAATGAAGAAGACGAAATATTCATTATCTGGACGAAACTTGTGTAAATGAACAATATACCGTTAAAAAGCGCGGGGCAATCTTTCATGGAAACATGCTCGACTAGATCGTATTCCTCCCGGATCTGTTATAGTCATGTATAATACCACTACTCAAAAGAATCCGAAAAACTACCCACGACATTTTGGAAAAAAATGACATCATTCATAAATAAGAAGCAAAAAGCCGAAAAAGGAGCTACTGAAGATTGTAAATTTGAATAAGCCACTTTGAAGAAATGCTAAATCTTATTCCTCGTGTTCCTGATAATGGCAACTACCACTAAAAAAAATCCGAAAAAATGCTCACGTCTACTCGGAAAAACATGACAACATTAATTTCAGAAGGATATGATGAAAAGGAGCTAATGGAGATTGTAAGTTTCAAAAAACCTTTTGTACGAAATTTTTGTTAGGCGATATTGCTTCAAAATGAAATCTAATCAAAACTAACCACAACCAACCAAAATTGGCCAAAGCATAACGCCACTTTCAAAATGAGGGGACGTTGAAACCCTCTTGCAAGAGGGAATAAAGACAGTGGATTGTAAAAAATTGAGTAAATATGACGAACCCGTTACCGAAATAGAAGAGAGCATGTGATAAGGTCATAAAATGCTATAAAACACTCTAGAGCCCCTTATTATGTCTCTGGACTCCAACAATTATATTTTATCTGACTACTCGCAACATGATAGATTTTCTATCCAGTTGACTACTTCTGGTGACGGTTTAAGCACACCATGATGGATTTCCTTGGTAGGCTCTAACTGGGGATTTGACATGCAGCCCCGCAATGGCATTGTGGTAATGGTGCTTTGTGTCATTCCCAAAGAAAGTCTGAACACATGCCGTGTCCAGTTCTGATCCTTTTCCAGATGGAACAAAGCCAACGAGTGAGTTCTGATCCGGAAGGGACCTGCGGCCATTAAATTTCGAAGACTGCATTTCACTTTCCCATTCATGTTCAGCATGGTTTCCACTAACGGTTCTGATTCCCGCAATGATCACTTACGAGATTTCAATCTGTTTATTCGAAGAGATGGTAGATCTTGATGGATGTGCAGCCTATTTGGTTGAAAACTGATCCCCGAGCACGATATAGTACATTCTGTGGAGTTCTGGTGGGGCAATTAGACGTAGGGACCGTTAAGTCATAGGAGGTACCCCTCAAATTTTGTACGATGTTCCTCGTTTACAAGTTAGCCTATATTCGAAAGATGTTTCTTGAAAGAGAGAGTTTTTATTTACCTGATCTTAGAATTATTAAGGTTTCAATTATCTGCCCATGTCTATAATTTCAATCGCGTGTAATTATTATTGTATTTATCATTCTAATTTAGGAACTATTCGTTGTGTGTAGATCTAAAAATCTGAAATGCAGGAAACTATAATTCTAATGTATGTAAAGTAATCCTCTCCAGACATAACACACTTGTGCCAACGTTTTTTGCACTTTCTGGTATAGCCTCCAGTGAATATGGTGGCTGAGGCACGATTGTGGTTTTGTTTTTGGCCAAAAAGTTAGACGCAAGCAAGGATGAGCGAGGAGGTCCATTATCTTGATGCAAAATCTATGAATTGTTTTCCCATAATTGCGGCAGTTTCCTCAGTATTGGTTCTCGCAAATGACGCATAACTTCAAGGTAATACTGTTTATTGACCGTACGACCTTGTGGTAAGAACTCTCGATGTACTACGCCACGATAATCAAAGAAAACAGTAAGCAAAACCATGACATGTGATCGAACTTGACGTGCTTTTTTCGAACTTGACGATTCTAGGTTTCATTGGGTTTTGGTTTCGACGTCATAACCATATACCCTTGATTCGTCACCAGTTATGACCTTTTTGAGCATATCAGGATCATCATTGACATCAGCAGACCAAATTTTCCTGCTACGCATTTCATGCTCAAAACTTCGGAATAAATTGCATGTCACAAACCAATAGAGATGCCGACGTCTTCAGTCACTTCTCTATTAGTAATTCAACACCATTTGTCACTTGCTGGGGGAGCCAGACCCAAGTTCGTCATCGGCGTTCTCGGGCATCTTGGAACACCTTGTAATACTTATAAATTTTTTTTTTGCTCAAAGTAGATTCACCATATGCCGTGGTCAACATTTGAAGTGTTTTGCGGCACTGTATTCCATTTTTTATACAAAATGTTGTTACAAAATCATTGATCCATTTTTTTTTGACAGCAGAGACGGGTTTCCACAATCTTCATATTTAAGGTGGCTTCCAGGTGCGGGTAATTATAATCCTGGACACTAAATTTAGTTTTAATAATCTAAATGTATATATTATCGTATTTGCACATTTTGTAGCAGTAGCCAGCTGGGGTATAAAAGTCAATTACTCTCCAGAATAATATCCAAATCCACCAAATCCACCCCACCAAAACTATTTAAAATTCAAATCATTCAAATAACCGTTTTTTAAATCAATACTTTTCTATGTCGCTATACGGGATGCTCGCAAAAACAGCTGGATTTATTACAAGATGCATGAATAATTATAAATCCATATTTTATTGTATCTCGTAGCCAATTAAGGACACTAGGACTTTCCTCGAAAAATAGTTATCGTAAGAACTTCGGGCGACATAATTTATGATTAAAGCGACCAGGAGAAATTGCAGGAAATTTCTAGAATGGCACAAACGAACGGGACTGTTTTTGGTAAGACTGTTGCCATAGTTCCATCGGCAGTGTCCCAACATTTTCGGAAATTAATATCGTTAACTTCAGAATGACTACACGCTTTTGGTTTCATGATGAGACAGGCTTTTCAGCAGTCAACGGAAACTCACTAAAATTATATAACCGGAAGGAAAATAAATTCACAACAAAAGGAAGAATAGTAGCAATAATTTGTTAATAACTGATTCAAGAGCAGATCAAATGATATGTGCCGAAGTGACATGGATAAATAATGCATTATACCCATAATAAAATACCAAAAACTGCATCGGGAAAAATATACTTAACCATTATCCGAAATTACTTAATTGCAGGTGTCGCGTTTCGAGATAAAAAAAAACACGGGGGCTTCATTGTGTTTCTGTTTTGCACGCCATATTTTAAAATCGATAACGTAGCGCAATTTTGATGATAAATGGGTCTAATGTTAAAGGAACGTTTTTTTTTTCGAAATCCGAGGACTATAAAACAAACACCCGTAACGGATTGTGTCAGACCGTTCTTCGAGCAGATACGAAACTACCAAAATGAAACTGTTTGTGTTTGTACTTTGTGTGATGGCCCTGTTTTTGGTAAGAAAACATTTCTCGTTACTATAGTTGCCTTTTTGCCTTTATCTTAGCATATATCATCAATTGTCCGTTAATAAATTAATTACAACCTTTTTGAAAAAAAGTAGAACATAGAAAAAAGATAAGTTGTTGAAACCTTGAAGGATACAGGCTTCAGCTCTTTGAGGTATACCTCTAGTATTTCTTATTAAATCGCAGCAATCTCTAATATGATCCTTCAGCTCTTCTACAGTGTTAACTGGGGTGCAATAAACCAGACTTCTAAAATGCTCCCATAGGAAAAAGTTCTAACTATTTAAATCTCTTACTGCAAGGGAAAATCTTTGGAAAATAACACAATAGAAAATCGTGCAATATTTTCCAAACCGACACGTGCAAGAAATTAAGATTATTTCAATTTCTAGTACTAAGTTTAAGATTTTTGTCAATAGAATTTAAAACTGCTTGTTTAATTTCTGGAGTTCTTCCCCTCCGATGGGCACCTTTTAAAAGACTATTTGGTATTAAATTAGCTGCTTCAGTCAACCGGCTATGTACATTTGAAAATGTTCGCCTATCTGTATGACTCTATTAGGAAAGCACTCTTGAAATAATCGCCCAGCTTCCGGTGCATTAGTAAATTCGACCATTCTTATTTAAAATATCAATACTCGGATAATTTAAACACCAAATTAACACGAAGAACTGAATTTGAAAACTGTTGTTAAACAAGTCCCTTGACAACAGAATTAATAATTCATACACACACCAATTGCACCTTACATAACTCAGTGTTTTTACTATTTCACTTAGGGAGAGAATCAGGCCCAAGCTCAGGGTAAGGGCGACGCCAGTGGTGGCGGTAGCGCCGGCGGCGGTGCCGGAGGCGGTGCCGGAGGCGGTGCTGGAGGCCAAGCCGGTGTTGGCGGTGGAGCTGGGTTTGGTTTCGAACTGGGTGGCGGAGCGGGGGCGGGCGGAAACGTGGGGGCTGGAGGCGGCGCTGGTAAAAAATAAAGAAAACTCGGATAGCGGAATGGGCAGTAAGAGGCGACAGCTGCGCGTAGATTAAATTTGATTTTATGTTTCGATAAAAGTGAATAAAAGCTGTAAGAAACTTCAGTTTTTTTTCTGCAATTTCTTTAGGACGGATACACACTTGAAATATGTAGTGGTGTAAAGCTATCATCTGGTTAACTACTTTTCGAACATAGCCTCATCTTTTATTCTCGTCACCTTCTTTTTATGCATTACTTTGGTAAGTAAGGCTTGATTTTGTGACGGATGTCATTTTCATGGATTTAAATAACAGCAGTTTTTCGATTTTTCGCTGAGCGCTAAATATAACTCAAAGTAATAAACTGAAAACTTAATCTGATTGACATTGATGATAGGGATGTCTTCATCTTAAATGAGACACACTGTATATTGTCTTTCCAACCTCATACTTTCTATATATCATCTCAAGGATCCACTGTTTTATTATGTTCAAGTGCTTTAAATAGCACTTCTCCAGTTAATACTGACTTATTGAAAAAGAATCGCCATTGTGTTAATACATTAATGAGCACCAACATAGGTAAAATATAACTTGATATCATAATATACAAATATGACATACATTAGGAGTTCTGTGTTATTTTCCGTCGGAGTCCCAAGGCTGTGGACCATGGAAGTGTTCATATCCTTAGCACTAAAAGTATACAATATCCTACTTGAGGAGTTAAAAGCGATTATTAAGGAAAAAGCAGAATTGTGTTACTTCCACGGTAATTTCTTTTTACACTGAAATCAGTTTCTGTTCCTGTAAGTCTCAAATGGCAGTAAACAATATTATTACTTTCTCAAGGACTGTTACGCGACTGGTAGCCTAAGATTAATTCTTCATTTTCAAAATGGTCAAAGAGAAATGTTATTTACCAGTTAAGATTTGTAGGTACATAAAACAATTACCAATATTTTCGAAATTACAAAAAATCTTTCAAAACAGTGCGAAAGAATATAAAAATTCTCCTAAGCAATAGAAGAATTATAACTTTTTATTATAATTTTATCAAATCAAAATGCTTTCGCATTCAGGATATTCAATATTTAACAAGTAACAGCTAAGAAATGAGTTAAATATTGTATAGCTTAGTTTGGATCAGTTTGTGAGACTCATCTAATTTTCACAACCTAGCTGGTTACTCTAGCTGATGCTCGCTTTTTGCACAATTTTTTGCCTGTGAAGAGAAACCATAGAATGCGTATGTCCCTGCTATTGTCATCAGCAGCGTTGGCATTCACGAGCCAAGACCCTGAAGCGACCAACACTTTACCACATTAATATAATTACTTTTACAATTTAGCAAATTTTCGACAGGAAACTAACGGTTTCGAACGATATTTTTCGAATTCGGCAAAATTCAATGGACGCCATTGTCATGCGTTCCGTATAAAACGCCGCCGGCGTACGGCCTAAACCATACATCAGCCTGCAACATGAAGAACTTCCTCGCTGTTATTTTTGCGATCGTCCTCTTCGGAGTGGTGAGTGTTTCCTATTAGTTCAACGTTATTTTTGAATGTAACTGCGGTTTAAGGGTTTTCTGAGCGCCATTCCTCCGCCCCAAGTGGAAGCCAGCGCCCATTCTGGCACCGCTTCCATAGGAGGGACTCACCAGCACTCCGCCAGCTGTAATAGAGGAGGTCCGCCCCCTGCCCAGCCGCTTCCAAGTGCGTATATTAGATTTCTGAGTTTTTAATGCAAGCGATTTCGAAAATTTTCCAAATTTGTGTGCTTTTTGCAGATGCGTCCGCCAACTCAACATCCACCGCGGGCTAAACCGTTTTAAATTTGTAGTTCCGATAATTGCCGCACTGTGCACAATGTCGTGTTCGATAAATAAATTCACCTATGAAATGACGTCAGTGGTTTAATTTTTGCAATTATATCCGCAAGTCAGCACCGTTAAATATTATGGGAACTCATTGAATCCTAGTGTATTTTTTGCAAAGTATGAACCTAGTTTTTGGAGTACATATTGTGTTGTGTTTCCTATTTTTTGGTTAGTACGAAGTAGAGGGCTCGGATCACTAAAGCAAACGGTGTATATTAACATTAATTATTAACTCTCAAAAATAATACGAAAGTAACCCCTAGTTAGGGAAGGGTGGGGCCACTAAGCCCACCTCAAAAATTAACCAATTTTTTTTTATTATAATTATAAATTCTGGCTATTTGCACATTTTTAGCCCTTTGCGTAATACCAGTGGCAAAATGGCCCGCTTAAAAATTCTAAAAAAAGCCGTTCCATATTACTATAACCGAATTTATTGAAAGTGTTATTTTTTGGATAATTCCAAGTATTTAGCCTAAAGTCAGAGCTTCAGTTACGTTTTTTTTATTGAATCCTTTTGAATAAATAACTATAATTACTACATATAACAAATGTTCCATAATTAACTTTATTCATGCATGTATGAATGTATAAGACATATGTTCACTGGGAAATGGCACCCAATGGCACAAATGCAGCTGAGCAATGAGTTCAGTACTGTGTTGGTTTGTTTTGGTTAATTTTGCGAGCTTCTACGGGCACAAACTTTTTTAAACAGGCCCATAATAGCCCTAAGGTTGTCCTTTTACTAGCTGGTTGCAAAATTTGAAATATTCAGTTGAGATTAAGTTAAATATATAGTGACGATTAGTTAATTTCTTGGCCTGAATTTATTGCAAACTATTAACCAAAGTTTCTTAGAACTATGTTATTTTGTTTCTAATTTAGTTTTTCTTGAAATAACCCTTAATAATAACTTCGAATATTTATTGTGTTACCAACTACTGCAATGGTTCATACAGCTTTTATCAGAAGACCTACCATCTATGATGCTTCATGACTGGTTAATACACCTAAGTTATTTTTTAATTTATATAATCCATTTATATATTTATTTGGCTACTCACCCAACAAAGAAATAATTAGTACAGCCGAAATAGATATAAACTGCATAAAACATATTTATCTATAAACTATATAATATATAGTTTTCTTTAAGATAAAATAAAAAACCAAAGTAAAATAGTTTAAAAGGCAGTATTTGCAGAGCTGCTTGTACATAAAAACAAATGCTGTGAATAGTAGTCATTCTTTAGCATAACACATGTTTTACAAAGGACTCTGCAAATTTGGAGAAGTATATGAAAAATACAAGGTAGCCATTTTATTGGTAAACAAATAAAGAGATAACAAATCAAACTGGTAATCAGCTATTATCTTCATTCGGGTTTAAAGGCCGTCGCCGATGTTGGACGTAGACTGTCTACGTCCAACATCGGAGATGGAAGGACCTCTGAAGAAGCTCGCCACTCGTGCTAGCGAAACGTTAGGAAGTAATTCCAATCGACGACGGCCTTTAAACCCGAATGAAGATAATAGCTTATCAACGGGCCGCGAAAGCCTTAACCAATTTATCAAACTGGTAATCGTCATCAATTGAAAAATGATTTTCTAATATGAAAATATGAAAAGTTCACAGTTATAATAGAAAAGAGGATAGTATTAACTTTCAGAGAACATTCTAATATTCTCATTGTATATTCTGCGTATGTGTTGCTTAATATAACCAAATTCCCAAAAATCTGTAATATACCTAATTATACACCGATCTAACTTGCGGGAAGCATCATTGTACACGTCAGTTTCGTTTCCCAGGCATCCGAGCCACTTCGGACGTTTCCGGGATATTATCGCACGGGTTTGTTAACAATCGGATGCTTTCGGAGATTTTACAGCACGGCAGGAATTTTGACGGTCATGTCAGTGAATGTATTAATGGCGTTTTGCAAAAATGTACCGAAAGTGGAGCTATCAATAAAGATCTTACGGCAACTTTTCAATAAATTATATTTACATCAATTTTTGTACACACAAAATCAAAAATAAAATAATTTTCACCTGAATTATACATCGAGGAAGATCTAAAAAATTGCTCAACAATCTGAATGCCTTTAGGGAATCAGTAACTACTCTTGCGCAAAAATACTTCGCTAATACGAAAAACAAATTTTTATTTCTGATTGTTCTGTTTAGACCACAGCATAAACTCTTCCGAATAATAAGGGTACGTGTGTAAATGTGTAAAATAAGAAGCACGGAAAGGAATTAACCAACAATTTTTTGTTTCGTCGACTTTAAACATGGAGAAGTAAGGGCAAGTAAGCAAAAAAGCAATATACATTTACTAGCAGCAACGATCGAATTGTTTGATCGATTGAAAACGGAAGTTTTACTTTCCCTCGGCAGTCTGATTGGAAGCTGAAAAAAAAACACCATTTAATATGCTATTTTGGGGATCAAACGCGTAGCGTAATACCTGGCTGCTGCCCCTGGCCCCCGCTGTTGGTAAAAATACACCCCGGGGTACGTTCATTGTTTCCTTTCAAGACTCCACCCCCTTGTCCCGAGCCCGGGTGCTGTGGTGGTTGCGGCAACGCATTGTAGGTTGCCTGCTCCGCAAATCAAAATAAGATTAAATAATTGCAATATGTCAGGGTTTTTCAAATACAGGGCTTACAAAACATTTGGTTTTTAATTTTTTTCGAAAGAAGGAGGTGACTTTAGATAGCCTCGTAACAGAATCTGGAAATCTTAGATAAAATGTTCTCATCTATGTTAAACAATTAATAAAAAATTGTTTAGGTTATACCTAGTTCCAAAGTTGCCCTTTTTTAACTTTTTCAACAACAAATTTTGCCAAAAACTGCCGAAGAGTAACTACCTCTCCGTTCACCTGCCACTCTCGAGACGTCTGACAATCATTATACGGCTAAGATCACCAAGTTTTACAGTTCAGTAATGCTGGCATTTAGAAACAGAGTATAATTCAAATTTTGATTAGGAATATCATGTAGTTGGAACCTGTTACCGAAACTATTATATTGGGTGACACATTAATAATTGGAAATATATAAAACGTGCCTCTGATGTACAGAGTGTTTAATATACAGTGGAGTAGCGATTTAGTGAACTTCGCTTCTAGTGAATTATGCTTCGCGATATTGTTTGTGTGTATTTTAAGTTCAGTGCGAAGTAGTACATTTAATTTTGAGGTTTTACACAGCAAATATGTCGCAGAAAGGAAGTGTTTGAATTTAAAACAAAAAGGTGAAATGCTAGAATGCATGAGTAAAGGCGATTGTGTGACTCTGCTTGCTAAAAAATATGTGCAATAAAAAAGAAAAATGAGCCTTTACTAAAGAGATTATCACAAACATTTAGAGGCTCAGAAAAAACAAAGACGTTAAAAATGTCTAGCTATTCTAATATAGAAAGAGATTTATACAAATATACCGGTGAGTGGGCTTTTCCTGAAGCTTCTACAAAAAGCTATTGACGTAAATACTTAATTTAATTTTTAATTTAACAGGTTCACAAAACTCTACTCCAAATACGTGGAGAGAAACTGTCGTCCCAGCCTGAATTAGTCGATTCATTTAAAGCACTATCGAAAAACTGATTCTGACGTCAGAACAGATTTGTAATGTCGATGAAACCGGCCTGTATTTGAAGTTGTTACCGTAAGACTTATGTATCAGTGACAGAGAAAACTGCACCGGGCAGAAAAACCAAACATCCAGGCGCCTTCGAAATTTTAGTTTGCCGCTTAATTCCAGCATGGATTACTGAAAATTTTTAATTTTCATTTTTAGGTGAAGGCGTTTTTAATGAATCGCAACTTACTCCATCCATCTGAAGCCTACTTAAAAAGTCCTGATGGTCTTACTTTTTACAAAACTTCTGGATTCCTCCTGCGTGGGTTTATGCTGAGTCGAACTTGCTGACGGTTCGCCTGTTCTCCTGTTGGCTTCTTCAGAGCTTGACTGAAAACTGGCGGAACGTCAGCAAGTTCGACTCAGCAAAAAGCTACGCAGAAAGAATCCAGAAGTTTTGTAGATACGATTACATGCGACACCTTTAATTCAATGTACCAGAATGTGAACGGAATTAATTATTTTATCGTAAAAACCTACTAAGGCAGTTATTGTCATAAGGCTCTGACCTAAATGCAATGTTGCAAACGTACACTTTAAGAGATGCAGTCTCAAATTGGCCTGAAATAAAAACAGTTGTTATAGAGAAATGTTGGCAAAATATTTTAACAATCAACTCGGATGATGAAGAGGATAATGTCCCCTTAAGTGTTTTAAGAGAACGATTACTTAATGATGAAGCACACAATGCCAATCGGAGTGTTATAGACCTCTTACAAAATATTACTCCAAATGTAAGTAAAATTACAAAAACGAAATCAAACCTCTATACCTCGAACTTGAAGGGTCTGTATTAATTAATAAATTCTAGCAGCCAGGCTATATTTGCTTTTAAATGTTCATTTTCCAGCCAGTCATGTCATATGGTTGACAATTTTTTTTTTGGATATCATTTTCTACTTTTTGAAAATCTCCATTTTTTCACCAATTACGAAGACCCCTAAAATAGGTCGAGATACAAAGGGTCGACTGTATTGTATGTTTACATTAATTTTAAATTGAATGTGAAATAAACGACATTAACGAATGGAATAAAGATGAACCAGCAAACTTAAAACAGAGAATGAAATAACAATTGATTCTGATTAGGAAAAAGATGATAATGACGATACTATGTCAAATACAGAAGACAAGCTTATTTCAACAAGCCAAGCTGTGCGATCTGTTAATAACCTTATCCAATGGGTGATGTAGTAGAATATAACAGCTTCATTTTGTTGCATGATTTAAGATAAAAAATTGTAGAAATCAACCAATAGAAAACAGCCTAAACTGGCGTTATTTTACACGCATATTTTTTTTCCGTAAACCTTGGTATGCATTTAAATATAATAGTACTTTTTCTTGTTTGTTACTTTTTGCAAAATATATATGTATTATTTCTTTGATTGTGTTCTTAATTTCAAATACCGCAAATGTGAACACCCAAGAAATAGTAAAATTGTTTTGCCAAAATAAGTTCATTAAATCGCGACTTCACTGTAAAACATTTTTTAAAAAATGACTAGTTCTTTAAGACTATTATCATATTCGAATGGAATTGGAGTACTACCAGAGAAGAAAATTGAACCAAAAACAAATATACAGCAGATACTCACAGTGGATGCAAAGAAAACCACCAACATCACCAACAATAACTTCATTTTCACTGTACTATCTGCAACAGACTCGTACAAAACTGGTCCAGTTCTTGTAACTACTTGCCGTGCCTACAATTCTACTTATATTCAGGACATCAGACAATTAATTTAATGCGCCGACTTCCGGATTTATTGAAAATATTTAGAAGTCGTTTATGTAACCCTGTGATTAGCCACAAGTGCATTAGGTGCGACGAAATTATTAAAAATGGAATTTTAATTTATGCATCCGGTAAACGCGAAAAGTTTTCCGAGAAAAGATCCACTCAATGGAACGATCTATATACTCACGTGCGATATATGATTGTAATCTTTAAAACCACCACCAAAAGTTCATTTTCTCGCACAATCCTGACCCTATTTGTACATTTATTTTTGTGAATAGACCTTTAGAAACGACGTGTGTGATCATTTTGTTTCTTTATTCGCTTTTTTATATCAGTTGTTAAATAAATACGGAGTTTAATGTGAAACGAATGAGTCTGACAGATCGAAAAAAGGTGGGCTATGGAAAACCAAAGCGCATCACTATCTGTCACTACATGTGCGAGCTGTCATTTGAATTTAGTCTGTTATTTCCCTGTGTGTCATCATTTAATATGGAGCGTCAAACAAGAAATTTATCTCGAGGTGAATCAATCAAAATCAAATCAAAAAGAATCAAAAAGCATCGTAAATAAGAAAGTAGATTACTCAAGTTGAAAACGCACAAAGCAATGTTTTCTATCCGATTAGGGCACTGCCACAGAATGATCAATGAGAAATGTTTAAGAATCCATCAATGTTAAACCGTAAACTAACCAAAACTGGCTCCTTGGTGCACTATCCTGAGTTGTTGGGCCAACTGAATTTTCATGTTCAAGGACTGCTTCACCTGGTAACCCCAAGAAACAGTTTTTTGATTAAAAGTCCTGTAATAATATTGACATTTTTTGTTATAGTCGTTCACAGTTCTCCAGATTAATTAAACATAAATTTTTGTTACAGTGAATATAGTCTATCATGTGTTTTTTTTTAATTATTTTATCTGAAGAGTAGTTAAGCAGCTATTTACAATCAAATTCTATTCTAAACGGATATTAATCTGTTCGATAATAAATATTGTCATTTACTATAATTTAATTATTTCTGGTTAATTGAATCCACTAAATACAATGTTAATGTTGACGTAACCTCCACAATTTTATTTTCTGCTTGTTAATATTTAAATGCCGTAATCATTTACTTATTTCAAGTAATTATATTAACGATAATAATACATATTAAAAAATTGTAACGTGGTATAATACAACAATATATTTGCGGCAACTGAAAAAATAGCGAGTTGATTTCTTCACACGCATAAAATACTGACAATTTAGCAAAATGAGGAGCGGCGAGTTCTTAATTTTAGTCGTATTCGTCGCCACTTTGGTAAGTTTCATGATTTTATTTATTTGAATTCAATGAAGAATAGATTGGCTGTGGTGGTTGCATATTTACAAATTCATCTTCAATAGGGAACTTGAACAAAATTTTAATTTGCAAAATATTGGTTACGAAAGTAAGTTTATACTATTAAAAGAACCCACAGTTCACAAAAAAATAATTTCGTAGTTCTATATAACAAATGTAAACAATTAAAAATTATAAAATTTTAATCCTCTTTGAAACGCACTGTCATTGGCTGTGACCGGTTGCAACGTCAATTCACTGGTAAGATTACGCGCCAGCCGGACCGTAGCATAGAGAATCCATTAGAATATAACAGAAATTTTTAAAAATGACCGAAGCCGATTTTTTAAAAGGTCGATCTGATCATTTTCCTTCAATGGATATTTTTATGGTAACATCTTAGATACAAAACACCGAAAGTTTTTCTTTTGCTTAGGTTTACGGTGTTAAAGCTAAAAAGAATTTTCAGCCACTAGTTTTAAGTCTATTTAATATTGTAATCAGCTTATAGTTTTCTAGTTTTTAAAATTCGAATTATATATCAAATAAAATGTAAATTATTCAATAAAAAAAACAAAAAGGACTTTTTTAACTAGTGGACATCTAAATAATGATTTTAACGTATATTCGTATTGATAACTTAAAGTGTTCTTTATTTCATATCGATGAGGAATCCATTCCTATGGAAATTTGTTTGCACGGTTAAGGCTAAAGTGAAACCTAAACATAATGTTAACAAAAAACCATGGCTTTTATTTTCTGGTAAACGAATAAAAAGATTATCTGGCGTTTTACGAATTTTACTCAAACACGATTGCACGATTTGCAACATTGTTTTTGTGTTGCTTCCATTATTATCATGTAAAGCCCACTAAGCACAAATAAAACTTTACACGAGCCAAAAATAAACGTAAATAATATCATTTTCGGCCGATAACCTGAGAACAATAGGACAACATGTCGCCGTATCGATTGAAAAGCAGCGGTATGACGTGACGATCATTCCCGCCCGTTTAGTGTTGTTTAAAAGGAATAGCCTGGTGTTACAACTTGAATTATTTATTGCATAAGAAATAAAAAATATTTAAGTTACCTATCCTTGGTTAAGCGGACATTTCTTTACAGATTAGTGTAGAGGGCGCTCCACAAGAGGAAGATGAAGCAGCTGCTGCCTTCGTGGCACAATCTGCCGATTTTAGAGACGCAAGGCAAACGTGTAGGTGCATACATCTCTTACGTCTCATTATGTTGTATTAAAAAAAATCTCTGGTCGCTAATTTTCTGTTCAACCAACGAAATAACCAATTTTTAGCGTCGTTCAAACACAACATGCGAAGGAGAAGTCTTAAAGAATTGATGATGATTAGAAAATACGTGCAAGACGAACTTGAAGAGGTCAACAGGGCGATACGGTGGAAATCCAACTTTAGGGGTAAGTTTATGAACGACGATTTACATCACATCAAAGGTGCCAAAATCGCTTCGATCATTAAAGAAAATATTTTTCTAAATTGTAACTAACATATCCATTGAAAGGCTACATTTACCAGTTGCCAATAGCTTTAAATACTTTTGTCATTCTAGCGCAAGCAGCTGACGACGGTAACGACTACGGTGAAGACGATGGTGGTTAGATCTAATAAAAATTAAGTACGCGTTAAGGGATTGACTCATTTTTTCAGATTACGGCGATGAGTAACAACAAAGCATATACGATGCGGGGATGGTTAGAAAATTTGTCCCTATTTAAGATGGTTTATTTCTGGTTATCTATACGAATAAACACGCTTAAGACGAACGTATAGTGTTTCTATTTCGAGGAAAAACATTTCCCCAATTCTTACTTGGAAATAACTTACATTTTACTTTTTTTCCATTCCTTCTGCGTCTGTCCTTGTTGAGTCGAACGTTTCACCAATCATCCTGTTGCCTTCTTCAGAGCTTGACTGAAACAGTTTCAGTCAAGCTCGACGCAGGAGGAATCCAGAGGTTTTGTAAAAAGCATTACAGTAGCCTGTGGAACTTTCTTTGGAAATTTAACTCAAATTTTGCTCGTCAAAAATTTTATTGGAACAAAGTGTCGGACATCGGATTTTTAAAAATTACCGTTTCTTTAATTTGAACAAGTAAAACACTGACCACAAGAACTTTCGTTTATTTGCGTTTACGGAGAGTCAGATCAATTTTATCCTGATGCGGCGCCATTTCCTGTCACCGATCCCGTCGCATTTCCTCCAATGGTGAAGCCGAAACTACCCTGCCCCGCGATTTCCCCCGTCCCGAAGCCAAGTATGTTGGCGTCGATGATGCCAGCCTGAAAGAATTTTTTTTTTAATGATAAAGCCGCGCAAAGAATGAAAACCATACTCCGTTCAAAAATTATATGGACTAATAAAAATGCGTAATCAGAGACGGTCGACGTTGATTGGTCACATTTAGGGATTCGCCTAAAGACATTTTGAAATTCATGTCCAATGGGACACCAAAGGGTGTTAAGCTGGTAATCTTCAGTTACACGTTGGCTGCACTGATTTAAGAGATTTAAGAGGTTATGTTGTGTCGTGAATTACTTGTTTTGCGTAGTGATATAATTTTTGTTTGAATATAATGGTATATTATGGCGGCAATGGGTAATGAAGAAATATTTAAATTCATAAAACTTTGTCAAGCCGTCACCTTTATGACATCCATTGTTGTTAACAGCATACTTGGAAACAAAAACTGATAACAGAGCCTTAAATAATGCTTTATTGTCACTTATACAAGTGGCATAAGCTGAGCAAAGCTTAAAAGGGAATTTGCAAACGTTATATGCATTTTCAACAAATATGTAATGGAAAATACTGCCTGTATCATAGAAAGGACAGTTTCTTGTTTTGCAGTCAGTACTTAATAATTAAAAACAAAACATTTTATTTTAAAATGTTTACAACGATTTTCACGGGTTACTTAGTTCGCTGAAAAAAACACTCGGAAGGCGGCCAAAAAAAGCTTATAAACATATTTGAAAGAAAACAAAAATTGTAAAATATAAATCCGAACAGTAAAGAAGCAAAAAAGAGTTGTTAATTTGCAGAAAATGTTGAATAAACGAAAATACAATTTAAATACTAAAAAAACGTTTCTGAGAAAAGATTTTCTCTATCTTTACAAAACGTATTGTTTTACTACCTAGAATAGGGTGGAAAAACGCCCTTACCATGAAAATTAAAAGAATCACTGAAACAAATATTACTGCACGTCTCATTGCGTCGTCAAAGTCAGAAGCGCGAATGAAAAGTGGAACAATCCTGTGCCCAAATTTATCAACTAAAAATAAAATGCATCTCCAGCGCAGTTCCGGATGCACAAATAAAAAAATTTTCGTTATTCCGCCATATTAATAGTGTCATATATTATAACGATTTCCGTTAATTTTGATAAATGAAAACGTAATAGTACTGAATAATACTTTTACGTGAAGATGAATCTCTCATGATGGCGGTAGACGGGGAAAGTAGTATGAGAATTTTTTGAAACATTAAACATGCATGGTCGGTTAAATATGATAAAGGGCGTGAATTTAGATGCCCTGACGCATTTCCTTCCTAGCAAGTTTACGAGGTGTGTTCAAAAAGTAAGGTGACTTTTGTAATTGATACACATGCCCCTAATATATGTTTACAGTTTCAGCCAGTTTGCACGTTTACGTTTTTTTGTGTGAAGCGTTAGACGTCTTTTGTGTGTCTGTCAAAAAAATAGAACAAAGAATTTGCACAAAATTATTATTATTATTATCATTATTATTATTACAAAGAATAAAGTGCAGAGGAGAACCTATTATGCACATTGGTAGTTAGTAGCATGAGAATATTATACATAAAATAAATATTTAGTTATTGCTGTGAAACAATACACTGTCCAAGCGACGTTTAAATACAGACAAGTTCGGCGCGCACACAACATCTGGGGGTAAACTGTTCCAATAATCGAAAATCCTGTTACTTATAAAATGCAGTCCTGAATTGTTCATTTCTTATTTTAAATGGATGACCACGTAGGCTACAAAGGACACTGTCACACCTAGGCACTACGGCAATAGTTCAAACCGGTTCTTGCCAACATGCAACACAGAGCACTTTTGAGCATTCAGTGGCAATAGCTAAGTTGAACACCACTTGGAAATAGTATTCAAGTCTGAAGTGCTGCAAAACACTTTTAATGTTGACAGCGGCGTATGGTGAATCTACTTTGAGCAAAAACAAAAATGTTTATAAGTGGTACAAGCTATTCGAAGATGGCCGAGAAGGCATAGATGACCAACTTCGCTCTGGGCGCCCCAGAACGTCAATAACTGATGAAAACTTTGAAAAAAGTGTCGAATCACTATTAGAGAAGTAGCTGAAGACGTCGGCATCTCTACTGCCTCGAGCCATGCAATTTGTCCGAAGTTTTGGGCATGAAATGTAGCAGCAAAATTGGTTCCGAACCTGCTTAATTTTGTGCAAAAGTACAATCGAAGGAGCATCACTCAAAAGCTGTTAAGCGACGTCAATGATGATCCTGATATGCTCAAAAAGGTCATAACTGATAACGAATTATGGTTATGACGTCGAAATCAAAACTCGAACGGAAGAAAAATCACTTCAAGTTCTATCAAATATCAAGGTTTTGCTTACATCGAGGGTTCTTACCACAAGGTTGTACGGCCGATAAAGAGTATTACCTTGAAGATATGCGCCGTTTGCGAGAAGTAGTACGAAGAAAACATCCGGAATTGTGGGAAAACACTCTTCATTGCTTGTGTCTAACTTTGTGGCCAAAAACAAAACCACCATATTTACCGAACTTGTCCCTGTTCCCAAAACTAAAGAAACCCATGAAAGGAAGGAGGTTTGGAACGATTGAGGAGATAAAGGAAAAGTCGCTGGAAGAACTCAAGGCTATACCAGGAAGTGCTTAAAACTTAAAAGACACCTTACTTTTTGAACACACCTCGTATTTTCAATTTGAAAAAAGTTATACAACAAGGATACGAATTAGACTCTTCTGTGCTCACTTCTTTCTTTAAGCTATATAATACATAAATAAGGGACTAGTAAAATATAATTAGCTTAGTTCTTTCATAAAGTATCTTAAAATGCAGATGCAGGCCCTACTTCTATTTCAAATTTAATTTGATGTAGTTTAAAATTCTGGAATTCTGTAGACAAATGAATGCTGAAGAATCTTATTTTAAACCATCCAACTTTTGTACAACTTTTTTTTGTAAAATTTGAAATAAACGTTCCGGGAAGTGAGGCACTTAAGCTTTTTGTTATTTTTTGTGATTTTTAACCATCAAGTCGATTTATTTTTGACTAAATTTAACTAAATTTTTATTTATTAAAATGTATTTAATAAAAAAAATCGTTACTGATTAGAAACTAATTTTCAATCGATTAAAAAAAATTGTTATTAGTATTTATAATATTTTCGAAAGCTCTGGCTTAGGTTAATTCATAGAATTATCCAAAAAATACTTACACTTTTAACTAACAGCTTTTTTTTATACCTGGCCTTACGCAAAGAGGTAAAAATATACAAATAACCAGAATTTATAATTATAACAACAACAAAAAAATTGTGAGGTGGCTCTCAAAAATTAACCCCAATCTCCTATAACTACTAAAATGACGCAATACGGTTTTCCAAAATTATTTCTTAATTCGCCTATAATTTTGGTAACTTCGAAGCATTATGCACCTTTATCCAACTCTGTATATTTAATGGTTTAAAAGTTACCCATACAATCCCATTAACCATACATAGGTATGTCAACTTCTGGATAAAAAATTATTTATTTTAACATAGAACCTCTTTACTGACATCTAAGCAAAACATAAAAGTTCCCATCACTTTGTTTCATTTTTCTTCGCCGTTTTCTGGCGCTTCCTCTGCTGGGGCTGCCCCTATTACATCCACCTCGCCATATGCGCCCTGACCTGCGTCCGCTGTAGGCGGAGAGACCGCGGTTGATGGCGCTAAAAGCACGAAAAAACTGGTTAATTAAGTGTCTGACAACCTGGCCAAAGTTGTGTATATGTTTATTATAAATTACTGATTACACTAACTATAGACAATAAAGCAATTCGCTCCATGTTCGTGTCGGATGCTCAACGTGTCACGAGTTTCTATCGCAGAGGGTTGCTCACGCAATGCCAAACAGAGAAAGCATTCCTGAAAAGACTCTTTGGAACTTCTGCTTTATACCACAGCGAAAGCGTAGTTTCTTACCAGCGTTAGGGACAAGATCAAAACGAGTGTAGCAGATTTCGCGTCCATCCCCACCGACTATGTGCTTAAAATGATAGGATCCCACAAAGAGCGGTCTCCAAATTGAGAACGTTTCCGCATCTATTAACTATACTTTTTAGCAAATAACAGTAATTAAGCATTTTCGCACCATTTCACACTCTTGCATGCAAATTAACGTTATTATCCATGCTTGGGTCGGAAATCAGATTTGTGTCGGGTCTAATAACGGGGTCTCCTAGAGGTTTACTAGGGATAAAAATGGTGAAAAGATTAGCGAATTCTTCTACGTAATCATGTGCATCACTTTTTACTGTCGAAGTCTTACATGCAGTGAATACCATGAATATTAGAAAAGCGCGAGGCCCAGATAAGCTGGCAGCCGAAATTCTTAAACTTGATGGATTTGTTTGATGACATCTAGAACTCAAGGATAATACCACAATAATCGCTGACATCAACTTTTACAACACTACCAAAGAAAGGAAATGCTAAACAATGCCCAAACTACCGCACTATAAGCTTAATGCTTAATACAGTAAAAGTGAAACATTGCAGTGAAATTGGAATGACTAATAAAAAGAGGATACATGGGACATATTATGAGCTGAAAGAAATATCAAATACTTATAATGCAAGGGAAAATAAGTTGAAGAGGATCAGTGGAAGAGACATTCCTGGTTACCAAACTAGAAGAGAAAAATCAACCATTATCCTAGAATTATACTTGATTATTCCCCGTATAAAAAAACTGAGGAATATTTTTTGTATTTTTATTTACGAAGGTGAATTTAAAAAACGACCACAACACGTGGTACAAAATTTCATTAAAATAAATTACTACTGCAATTAAATAAGCTCCACCCTATTTTTTTGTAGACTATTTAGATTTTCTCTTCGTTTCATTGCAAATGACTGAGTTTTATCTAAGTTCGTCTATCTAATTTCTGCTCTTCTTGGGAGAATCTGTATTCGGTGTTTTCTTCCACGCCCATTAGGTTTAGATGCCTTTTAAATCAGCAATAGCCTGTCAGTAGACCTACCACAGACTCTCTTTTGTAATTTGAAGATTTAAATTTGACTTATGAATTTCTCAGATGACAAATTTTATCGGTTGATAGGTCAAACCGTCGGTGTAACTTATGACCATATTTAGAAAGAAAATGTGATGGTAGTTGTAAGTAACTACGTCTGTTATAATTGGGGAAAATTTAGTTTGTTCTCTAATCACTTTAGCAGCACAATAGGGGTATCACGTGGCTTTAACAAACCTTTGCAGAAAAAAAACAACAGAAAATGGAAAGCCTTGTTGGCTATGATTAAAGCCCGCTGCACAAGTTCAAGTGAGAGAAGCTACTTTAGCCATTTAAGTTAAGTTCAAAATAGACAGCCTTGATAATATTTTAACAGTTGCTGTCTTTAAAACGAAATACATTGCTGGACAAAAGACTGGCCCAAAGTATGGCCAATACTTTTTTTTTAATATCCGCTCGTACATGTTTGATGTCACCATACTTCCGCGTATAGTCGATGTTCATTCACATCGGCGTCAATAAGCGCGTCAAAACTAACAAATTACATTAATTTGACGCCTTAATTGGAGTATTAAATCATCTGACGAAGTAGATAACATTTAAAACATCCGGTATAATATAAAAAAGCATTACCCCCTCACTCTTTCACCATTTGAAAATCAAAATTTGCGACGTATATAAAAATTGGTCAAAGTATTGGCGAAACGTCAGTTCAACTGGAGCAATTTTGGCAGCAAATGGCGGTTGTCGTTCTGGTTTTGGCAGTTTTCTTGGTAAGATTTCACATCTTTACATTTTAAATAATATTTCAATTAGTTAATTACCGGTTTCGATGCGTTCCGATGGTACCAATTGTACCGAATAAGCAGCAAAAGAAAAAACACATATTTGAAACAAAGTAAAAACCAGCATGGCAAAGTTTCATCCCTTTGTAGATCAAATATAGCAACCTAAATTTACTAACTACTCATAACTTGCAATAATTCGTGTTGCAAAGAATAAACTGATATCTAGCAAAACATATGAACCCTCGTAAACTCCAGCAACAAAATTTTCGTTTATTTAACTATATTAAAATATATATTTTGGCCACACAAACCAGTGATGAATAAATTATTTTCTAGTTTGCAGATTAATAACAAAGTGAACAATACAGGGTGTAGTTTAACTTACGTATGTAATAATAAATATAAAATAATGCTAGAAAATATACATTATCATTCCTAATGGAATGAATTATTTTTTTAGAGCCTTTGCTATGCCCAACCACCCCAAGGCGGACTCCCTAACTTCGGGGCTGGCGGATCTGGCCAAGCCAGTACTGATTTGGGCGCGTCAGGCAAAACTGCTAGTTCTAGCGTAATAAAAGGTCACCAGCATGGGGCCAGTTGCGGAGGAAGACGGGGGCCACCACCAGCGGCCACCACCGCAGCCACTACCACCACTGCTGCTGCTGCCAGTTAGGGCGGTGTAAATCCATTTGGCAATAAAAATTTTTGGCATTTATTTTATGAGTTTTGGTTCTTCTTCCTCTGCTTTTACTGTTAATGGCCACGACTACATAAGGTCATTCGGCCAACTTACAAAAATTGATAAAGATTGTTCAAAATTCCTAAAGGATGTCTACGTAAGAGAAGGGTCTGGACCATTCCATCATCGTCCAGGTTTGTTAACATATTCTTAATTTGTTCACAACGCGAAAAACAGCCACACCCGCTTCCACCGCTGACCATCCGCTCCCATCCGGCCTTTAACCGGCATGAACGTCAAAAACAGCGGGCCAACAACGATTACGCACTTTAAAACCTTCACCAATTATTTAGAAAACAAAAACTACACTTTTGGAACCGAAAAAACAAGACGACTACAAAAATATGTTTTCAAAATAAATAAGAACTAAAAGTTCAGATTCAAAATCAAATGTTTGATAAAGACGCGGTGTTGTCGAAACAATTGTTATGCAAAAATATATAATTTCGTGAAAATCTGAACTCTTAGTTCTTATTTATTTTGATTAATGGATTTTCATCAAGTAAAAGCCACCCAGTTGAAGAAATGTTTTGTTTTATGCTTTCACAAAAATTTAAACTGCTTTTGCAGAAAGTATCCCAACCTTTCTCAATTTCATTTATTTTTTTTAATTTGGCTTATGGAATTTTATTATTATATCCCGAAAATTGCTTATTTCTTAATATAGATAAAACATTTTTAAATTCTGGCGCTACCACCATTCCGTCATGATTCGTAGATATTTGTAGTACATATTATATACTTCTTAAGTTTTAAATAATGCTAATAATAATAAAGTATCGAGGTTTGCAATACTGACTGTAATATTAGAGCATGGGATAATTTATAAATCAGAGCAATTTTATAAGAAATTATAAATGAGGTTATGTTAACTATAATTAAGACAAAAATTTATTTGGAGTTTTGGAAAGACATTTTTAATTTTTGCAATACTAAATGCTAATCTACTAAATACTATATCTTTCACTTTCACAGATAAATTTAAGGCTGTGTCTATCATCATATACACATATAGCACACATTTTTTTATAGATCTTAGGAATTTTTAAATACGAAGGTTGCATTGGATGCTTCTGGAATGTCGTGTGTGATTTAAAAATTCTCTGTTCATTACTGTCGACTGTTGATTGCTGTTGTTATGTTATTTTTAATGTTAATTTGTTTAAAGTTATTTTATATAAGGCAAAAATTAAATAAATTACTGGAGAACTAAAATGCATCAGGCCAAACATTAACTGGCAAATGAAATAGCTAAGCGACCAATGGTACAAACAATCTAATGCATGTCATCCTGCAGTTGCAAAAAAAAAACGATTCGTGCGTGAAGGATTTGAATAGTTCACGGACCGTATAATTAGATCTTGATGAGAATATATTCAACACGATGTGCAAACAGCGTTCAAATATGGTAGTGCACACGGGTAACTCAAATATTTGCTTATCAAATACCAATCCAGATTTGAAAATGAGAGTTCCTTTGAATGACATATATTTATATCATCATATTTTTTCTGTATAGATTTAAATGAAAAACATGTCTGGCTAGGTGTAATTAAAATACATGCCTTCTATTCACCAATATTTAAGTGAATATTTGAGACTCTCATCAATAATGTTCCCAGTATTATATTTTGTACGTGGTTGCATAAAATTGCATTTTCTACTTCGCCAATTAACTTTTTAAAAACGGCAACTACAGAACGTGACCTCTAATTAATCTAATTCTATAGTCACGCATAGCGGAACATTAAAAACAATATGCATGTTCCCAAATATAATTGTTGAAGTTTGTGTAGTACTGCTGCCATAAAATTTGACGTTCATTACAAGAAATAATAAAAAATTATTCTTTAGTTTACATTACATGAACCCGATTGGTACTGCTGGGATCGCGGCAAAAGTATTTAATCGCTAATCATCAAAGTGTAACAGTGGGCTAACTAACCTATTTTTTAGAATGACTACAAAGCCGGTGAACGTATCGGAAATTTATAAAAACGACAAGGATCTGAAGAAGACTGATGTGGAAGCCATATTCGATTGGGTATCCAAACAGCCCCACCTACCGGAAATATCCGGTACTAACATTTACTACAAATTATCCATAAGACGATGTCAAAACATTTTGTTTCAGAAATCCAAGCCATTTTGTTCCTGCAGAGTTGCTACTACAGCAACGAGCTGGCGAAAACAACAATCGACAACTACTTTACGGTGAAGACACTGTGTCCTGATATATTCGGCAACAGGAACCCAAACAACCCGAGCGTGAAACACGCCATGAATACGGTGTACGCCACTGGTGTTATACCCAACGGAAACCGGACAAATCAGGGACGCAAAACTTAGAATCTGCAGTTGTCAACCTAAACAACACGAAATTAAAAATAGTGAATCACCTGCCTCCATACTATTTCTAGGAAATAATGTGTTTTACATGGATAAGCCAACTAGTCAAAACCTATATATATATATATATATATATATATATATATATATATATATATATATATATATATATATATATATATATATATATATATATATTCATTATTATGTACACAAGAAATGTCTGGTCTCCTTTGGATATCATGATTGCCTAATGGCCACTTTGATTTGAAACAATGCCTTTTCAGGCTAATGACCGTCTTACCAAAGCTGACTCCCGAGGGTTACGCTACTGTTTTCATGAGGCTCATCGATTGTAACCCAGAAAATTATAATTTTGCCCACCAGATTAGGAATTTCGACATGGCCGTTTTGCTCTACCTTCACCAAAATGGGCCAGTGAAGGGCATGCATCTAGTTTTTGACATGCAGGGTGTGGTTTTTGGCCACCTGACCAGGCTCAGCATAGTTGTAATGAAAAAACTGCTTTATTATCTGCAAGTCAGGCCAACAATAGCGCTCATTTACCTTTCTTGTTTAAGTTAACGTTATTTTAGGAAGCAATGCCGATTCGCCTAAGGGGGCTGCATTATATAAACGCGGTGCCGTTCATCGACAAAGTCCTGGCCATGATGAAGCCGTTCATGAAGAAAGAATTGACCGAAGCTGTTAGTATTTCCTTAATTTAAAAAATGCTTATGTCGCCATCTGTTAGCGGAACTCTAAATGTCCACACCAAAATCCACAGGGTTTTTGTCTATGATCCACGCGAAAGCAAGATAATACCCACTCTTTGTTAATTTGAAATTAATTTTTCAGTTACACGTGCACGCAGAATCGATCGAATCCTTTTACAAATTCGTACCTCAAAATTGTCTGCCTGAGGAGTACGGAGGAGAGTGCGAACGCTTGGATATTTTACACGGCAAATAGTTTTTAATTAAATGTTTTTCCGTTGTGTAATTCTTTCAAATTTTCAGAAAACATAAAATGCGCAATCAACGATAACGTGTCATTTTTCGAATACGAGGAATCCCAAACGGTGGACGAAAAAAAAAGACCGGGCAAGCCTAAAAACGCCGGCGACTTCTTTGGAGTGGAAGGCACTTTCAAAAAGTTAGAAGTTGATTAATTAATACGCGGCCGGTAGCAAGATGTTTCGTTCTACTTGCCGTAATTTAAATAAATATGTGTTCCATGGTCTGTGACTTTTTTGTTGACGTAGCGCCTACCTTGTAGGCAACTGCGTATACAGGCGGCAATACAAAAATTGTTGAAATACGAAAACATCGGTCAAATTATAACAACTTTGAATGGTTTCCAAAGCAGGAATCGAATAATTGAGATGCTGGAATTTTGGCATTTGGCAAATTTTATTGATTTTCGAATTTTTCATCCATAGTTCGTTGGGAAAAACGTCGACAAAAACAAGACAGCTATACGTCACACTTTGCGTCATTGAGTGTGCGCTGTTGCCTCTCCTCGCAGTGCAAGTGATTCACTGTCAGTCGGTGGTGTATTAAATTTCATATGTTAAGTAGTGAAAAAATAGTAAAAACGACATGTTAATCAAAGAGTAGTGAGTATCGTTTAATATTTTGTGACCTCAGAGTGTTTTCCGCGTTTTTGGCACGAAATTTAAGTGAAGAATTGAGTCGAGGAGGGTTGCAAGTAACCCCTTTGGCTGGCGTGTCATAATTTGTCAATTTCAGCTAAAAGAATAGGGGAAACGGGATTTTTGTAACTGTTGGATACGATATTTATTTTGCTAGAATCGGCTTTAACTTAAATTGTTCTTAAAAATGTGTTTTTTTCGGGCATGTTTAGTGGTTAGACCTTGAATTTCCACATTGACCGGATTTTGGATGGGACTGGATTTTTTTGACATCTAATATCTTATCTTTTTGTTTTCCAGCCGAGTTACTTTGCCCCTAACGGTAGAAGAGGTAAGTGCATTTTTTTTTAGTTTTAGACAATGTTAACATGACACTGCCATTATTGTCTGACGAATTTTAGCTAAATATCTATAATTGACTTGTAATTGTCCAGCATAATGGTTAGCTACTTACGGTAACTGACCTTTGGGTTCAAAGTTTTTTTGTTGCGAAAATCAATCGTAAAAACCGTTTCACATGCAATGCTGTTTTTTTTAGAATATTATCAGTTCATGAATGCAACAGGGCTCCTTTATCGATTGGATCAATTAGATTCAATTGATACAATCTTCATTCCTTAACTATTTAATGAAATCTCAGATTCGTCAGCATTAAAAAAAAACTTCTGCAATGTTCTTTCACCCTTAACAAATTAGTATATATATGTTATAACAGAAGGAAGTAACAATGTAATAAATAAAGTTAAAATTTAATAATAGAGGTCGTATCGAATTAAGGAAATCACTTGGGAAATCAGATCTATAAATAGATTTATTAGAAAGAATGCTGTAGTGTTTGTAACGAATTTTATGAGTTTTATTACTGGAATAATTGACAATAGCTACAAGTTGAATTGTAAAAATAGGAAATTAATAAGCTTTTTAATTTTTTAAAAATCGTGATTTAAAGTTTTTACATTTAAATCATTAAGATATGCAAATGTGAACTGTACCCATAGAAACTAAAAGTAAAGTTTATATATAACAAAAAGTGAACATGGTGCCTACAAAGTTTTCTATTGATTCCAGTACCAAGTTGCTCAGCTCTTCAGCGTCGCTGAAGCGTCGAAAGACAACACAGGCGGTGGAGAGGGCATAGAGGTGCTCAAAAACGAGCCCTTCACAAACTATCCCCTCCTCGGGGGTAAATACAACACCGGCCAGTACACTTATAAGATTTACCATTTGGCGAGCAAAGTGCCCGCATTCATCAGGCTGTTGGCCCCCAAAGGCAGCCTCGAGATACACGAAGAAGCATGGAACGCTTACCCATACTGTAAAACTGTCATTACGGTAAATGGCATTTTATGGGGTTAAGTTTTGTGAACAGTGTGTGTCTTTAAAGATCGCCCGAAAATTTCGTTTAATTCATGGATTTAACACAGTCCCTCATATTTCTGTATATATTTGCTTCATGAAAATGTTTAAAAATTGTTAAAATTGAACCAAAATTACTGATATGCATTGGTTAATCGGCTATACTTTTCAGAATCCAGGTTATATGAAAGAAAAATTTAGGCTAGTTATAGAAACGTTGCACGCACCTGACCGAGGCTGTCTGAGCAATGTAAGTACTCACCTATTTTTCTTCTTTTTTGTTCTATGTGTCCGGCTATCTCATTCATCAAAACATGGTTGTGGGCAACGCGGTACAATAAACTATTAAACAAACAATGTAAATAATAGAATCCTGGATATATGAAGGAGAATTTTGTGATTTGCATCGAAAGTATGCACATAGGTGATACAGGGAAACAGGACAATGTGAGTAGTAACTTTGCGGAACCTTTCCATGAGGATAGAAACCTTCTAGAGCCTGTCTGTTAGTCCTATTCTTCACCTAGTGCACAGTGAAGCCCTTATAACAAACCTATCGCTAAAATGAATGCTTAATATGAATATGTTCATGGCTTTTGGTATGCCGTTTGATATTTTAACATCCGTGTGCTTTGACACTGTCAGTAGCCCCCGACGTTTTAGTTTTAACCGAACGTTTGATGCAACCTTTGCCCGAGTTTGCAAATGCTGTTGGTATTTTGAACTAAGATTTTAGCAATTTGTTGTACATTTGAACTACTTTCTTAAAACCATAGTTCCATATAAGTTAGGTGTGCGTTCAAGAGTTTATTGGTAATCATTTTTAATCGTTCGAAAATTAGAAGCCAACAAAACAAAGAATCTAGAGAAAAATTTTGAAAATTCACGAATCTATAGCAAACAAGGAAATCGTGAGAACTGCGTTATTTTGTACAACATTATTACACACACACACATTGGCATGGTTTTTGTCGCTTTCCGTTTTTTTTTTTAACTCTTATCAAGCACGTTAAAAGCCACGTTACTGATGTACGGTATTGTGTCAACGACGCAGGCGCATGAACTGTCGGCCGATAAGCTCAAGATGCGCGAGGTGGTGTTCATTGATATCGCAAACGATCCGGTAACAGCAGCAGACTACAAACCGGACGAAGACCCGACCAAATTCAAGTCCCAGAAGACGCAGAGGGGTCCCCTGGTCGGTCCCGACTGGAAGGACAATGTCGATCCCGTGATGACGTGTTATAAACTAGTCACTGTAGAATTTAAGTGGTTCGGGTTGCAGGTAAATTTATACGCTCAAGACCACCGCGATGTATTGATTGTATTTTTTGTTTACTTCTTCCAGTCCCGGGTGGAGAGCTTTATACAAAAATCTGAGAGGAGGCTATTTACAAACTTCCATAGGTAAGCGCGATTTTGATTAATGTTTTACATTCTGTTTGGGTCATATAGCTATTAGACAATATAGTAAGATAAAAACTGGTGCGCCTCAGGCGGCTATGACATTTTCTTAGAGCGAGGAATGATCTTTTGCGCGTGCGGCTAAATTTCGCACACTAATTTCGGCTTTACTTTGTTATTGTTTCTCTGCAGCGATCTCCACACACTTAACTCGACTTTTCCCGAACTTTTCACGGGATCTGGGCATATTGTGCGAAAATACTGCCTTAAAACACATTGACGTAGTGTTAGTGACTGTTTTCGTTGCTGGACGCCACTAGGTCTTATTGCTTGAAAGCAAGCTTTGAAATAACAGATCTTATTGGTTGAGGGGGACATTTTTCGATGGTGGCTTTTAAATTGCCTGTATTATCAGCATAGGCCTCTAGTCATTTCTAGTATACAGTTTAGATAAAAAGAATTGCTGTAACGTATCGATTTTGGGGTTATGTTTCGGGCAGTTAACATTAAATTGATACTAGCTTCGGGAAATGAGTTATTAGTGGCGATTATGTGAGCATAAAATGTGATGACGTAGATATTTTACGTATTTCTGACAAAAATAGGGAATAAAAATTGACGTTTTAAAAAGGCAAGTATAGTCTGTCTCAATCTTATCATTCTTTCAACAGACCCTCCCCACTAAAACTTTAACGATGTTATTACCTATTGTTATTGGGTAAAGCCATTAATAATAATAATAATAATAATAATAATAACAATTTATCGCCAATTCGTTTATAGAGGGTAATGTGAAAATTATTCTTTAAGGGATTTTAATGCCTTTATGAACAAAAAAAGTTTAGAAAAATGGATTCTAAGATATTTAAAAAAAAACGTGTTTTGTAAATAGCTTTCTAGCTGATTTTGTTTATTTATTTACTTTAGTTAAACGGTGTCCCAAACTTGTTAAATCCAGTGAGGTTCCGACAACATTCTAATATTTTTTTCAAAAAGTAAATGTGTGCCTACCGATTTTTTTTCGAGTTATCAACCAAAAATCCGACATGAAAAATTAAACATTTTTTTAAATAGCCCTTTTAGAGGTTTTTCGTAATCTTTTAGAGCTATAGAGGATTTAGAGGAGCTATTCAGTTTTCATTTTTACCTGGAGATATCAAAAATTCCCGGGAGACAAAAACCTCGCGTTTTTGGCGGCCTAATTCCGAAATCAGGGGCGTCCTCTGGTTTTGTGCCACAACAGTACCTAGATAGACAATTTGTTTACCCTTTATAAACGAAAATTTCCGCAATCCAGGCAAGTATTCTGTTGGATGGACCGCTGGCACGGCCTGACCATGGAAGACATCCGGGCGATAGAGGACAAAACCAAGGAGGAGCTGGAGGCGTTGCGTCAGAAGGGCGAAGTGCGGGGCATGAAGGCAGAGTCCGATTAAAATAACTAATTTAGCCAAAAACAAAACAAACAAAAAAAAAGAAAGCAACACTAACTCCGATAGCAAACTTTGTTGAATTCAGAGCGAGAGAGCAAATCTTAAAATTATCAAAAAAAAAACAAACATAATTTTAGGCTGTCGGTTTTCCGTTGGAAAGTATTTTTTTAAGTACAAAACGAGACTGGGAGTGGAGCGGGTTGGTGCGTTAAGGCTTGTTTCGGAAAAACTGTCGGTTTTTAGATGGGTTAGTCTTCCAAAATATCATCGGACGTTAGAATCGCGACCATATGTGGGCTTGTTTCCTTTAATTCTTATTTATTCACGATAAAAGTGTTACTAGAAACTAGATAAGAATAAATGGTGCAGTTTGGCAACACCGCGCGGTAACGGTTCACTTAAGACATTTTTTTTCGTTTGACCGGGCGGTTTTGCTTATTTTATTTTCTGTCAAACACGGAAAGTGAGGTTAGGTGCGCTAAACGTCGATTCCATCGCATGTATTGTCTGAAAAAATAGGAATTAACGAACGGTTGAATCATAAGACAGTTAACCTAGCTATTGCTTTTATTTTGCGGCTTCATTGCTGTTTTTTATTCGCTTGTTTTTAATGCTGCGTTCTAAAAGAGTATCTGGACAGAATTTCTTTTTTATTGTTTAATATCAACTCAATCTCTGAGTTAAATTTAGTCGCTATTCATTGTTTTTTTTTTTTTTTGCTTTGCATTTTTACAAAGCTTGTGATGAAAAACTCACAGTCACAGATTCATCTTTCTAGGCGGTCAAAATACACCGATCAAACAGATCTACCTTCACTACATCTGGATGTAATTATTGTGTTGGGTAGTCAACATCTATGTACACTGTTTTTTCTCATAAATTTCTCTTTTAGTTTCTTTGATTCGGCTTTTTTCAATAAAGTATTGTTTGTCGTACCATTTCGTTTTGCATAGTTAAACCTAGTCCTAGCTATACTTTTAATGCAAACTAACTAAAACTAAAAGTTATTAAATAAAAACGTAATTATTTACTGCATCTAACTGCGAGCCTCTTTATCAAACATTTTAAAAATTTAAATATATTAAATTGCCATTGCCATACTATCACAATTAAAATCACTCAATTAAAAAGTTCATTTTACATATTGAACGGTTTCAAGGGACGAGAAAATGTTTTATTGGAAACCTGCCATTTCTATTCATTTAATGGCATAATGTAGCAAGGAAGTTCTTGAGTGTATGGTGTTAATTCAAATCCAATCCAAAATATTGAAATTCATATCTGTATAACGACGGCTTGACCAATGCGCATCCCATCTGCGCCTGTATATTCCAAGTGTGTCAAGCAGGGAGTTGGACAGACATATATGTCATTTCAGTCTTGTTGGCCTTATTTCCTCGAGAAATAACGATAAGTAGCATTTTCTTCAAGAAAGCGTAGGTTAATCATAATAGCTACTTGTTATAAACACTTTACTTTTCCACAGTTTACCAATATTACAAAAGCGCCTGCGCGGGTACTTAAACGTTGGTTTTATAACCTCACTTTTCGTGTTTTTTTTTTACTTACCTACATTCGGCCGGCCTTTCTTTTTCCAAACAGGCCTTAAATCGATACGCGAAAAATTGTTGCATTTATATTATAGTCGGACAACTCGGGACTTACTTTTCGCGCTCTCCTAAGTTACCAATAACGTATGGCTTTTGTAGGACGACCTGTTCGGCATATGGTTGCTTACCGAACCGCAAGATTGCCGAGAAAAATAATGAAAATTGCGCTTTCCTTTTATTTTTTTATTGTAGAAGTTTTACATTTACCATTTTACAAAATAAACCTTTGGATGTTGCACCGGTCTTCATTATTTTTCTTTTCGCCTCTTTCCTTCGGTTCAGTTGTTGAAATTTATAAACTGTGCTCGGTGAGGTTTTTAAAAGTGCCGATCGCAATTAGATCGTCGGGGGGGGTGACCTGCGCGCGCCTAGACGCAGTTTTAAAGCAGTCCTTGAAAAGAAATTCATCGAGAACATGTCAGTTTCGTAATTAGCTTAGCTTCGAAATTTCTCTGCTGCTTGTGCTGTCAAAGATGTTGACGTTCCTCCCAACCAAAACTTAATTTGATGAATTTGTTCTCAACGTAAATCTGACATTAACTTTTTTTTTAATGAGCTCTCGGATAAGGAACCATTTCGCCAAAGAAATCGACGTACGTCACGTCCACATGAAACTCTTATTGTATAATAATCTAAATGTGTAGACTAGGTCGTGGTAAAGTTAGATTTTTCGGGATCACATTATAGACAATATATACAGAGTCGAAACTTTTAGATATTAATCATGCAAATTGTCGAAAGAGTGTATGTTAAAACCTTTTGATATAGCAAAGGTTGGTTGGTAAATGGTTCCTTATATTCGTTCAGGAACGCGCTGGATAGGCAGCAAATAATTGTCAAATTTTCTTCTGCGTATCCAGGTGGCGCAATGGTCGACTGTTTTTTAAAATTTAGATGTACATTTTTCGAAGACGTCAATTCGATTTCCAATAAGTGGACGTAGGCTTAGAATTTCTTCGAGAAGAGTAAACCATATGTATATCCGTCTATAGAAAATGGAATTCGATAGAAATGGTTAACGTTTCTTGCTGGGTTTATTGTATATACCACCGATTAGAGTAGGTATAGTTAAGTATAATAATGGGATCATTTCTTTTTTGTTATTTATTTTCGATGACTCATTTGCGTGCGAGAACTTTCAAACGTTTCATTCATTCTGGCCGGGTAATTTTAGAAAAAAACGTAATTCCAGTTTTATGTAACAGAGTAAAAAAAAACAAGTGAATTGTACACAAAAAATGTTACTAAACAATAGAATAGTGACGTTACAGAGACGAGTTGTTTTTTTTGTTAGCCTGACCTCCCAAATCCTCTGTCAATTTAGAAAGACAGTATAGACAGACAGACAATATAGTTTATTCTCACTCTTAGTAATGACCCTAATGTATATCACACAAAAGTGTTAATTAAACCAATACTCTTTATTACATGAATGTACGACGGACGATATACAAGTTGTAAACGGCTCTGGTCAACATATGACATTGTGGGTGTTAGCCAAATGGCTGTTGAGTAACTGAGCGCTGCTAAAACCCTTGTTACACAGCTGGCACACGTTGGATTTTAGGTCGCTTCTACCCTGGTGCATTTTCATGTGCTGTTGCAGTCGATAGTTTTTGTGGCACTGATACATGCAGATACAGCATTTAAACCTCTTCTCTAGAAAAATGCGAACTCTAACTCTGTCCGCAAGAAAAAAAAAATACAATTAGATTACCACCGTGAAGTCTCATATGAACCTTCAACAGTTCCTTGGTTTTGAAAGTTTTATCACAACTCTGACACTTAAAGGGTCTCGCTTCTGAGTGGATCGATACATGAGAGGTTAGGTGACTACTTTGGGCAAACGACATCCCGCACTCTGTACACAGGAATGGTCTTTCCCCTAAATGCCAAAGGGGATTAGACACCAATGGAATGGCCAATTACAATGTATCTGAGGGAGACCCCGCAAGTCAACCTAATAATTTACACAGAATGTGACCTGCCTATGGCTCTATAAACAATTAAGCCCTTGCCAGGTCTCTATCAATTTCTGTGTACCTCTGTGCTTTTGCATATGAAGTGTCAGTTCTGATTTCCTGCAGAATTGTTTCTGGCAAATTTCACACTTCTCAGGACGGCCCGTGTGTTGTTTCAGGTGCACCCTTAGAGTAGCTGAACTTGACAATCCCTGAAACCAAGAAGTTAATTTCATTTTTTTATTGTTATAATTGAAACAGCACTTGCCTTGCCACAAATCTTGCAAATAAAAGTTTTTTCTTTAGTATGAGTTCTCTCGTGATTTAAGCAGTCTGATTTGCGAGCAAAACCTCTCTGACACATTACACATTTGAATGGATGTTTGCCCAAGTGGCCTTTAATGTGCATCTGCAATTTGTATGCAGTCCTACACAAACAAGAGCCAAGAAAAAACTTGTGAATAATTATTTAGGCTTAATTTTCTTACGTGTAGGATTTCTGACAAAACTGGCAGGTCAAACTCTCAATTTGCTTTGTTTCCAATCTACAGCAGATACTTTCCTGAGCACCTGCACTAAAACAGAGACTATTAAAATGGCATGATTAAAAATGAAGAGTGTTACCTAAAATCTTTACTGTCTTCAAAATTGGGATCTTCATTTTCGTTATCTGCTTCTTTTTCGCTCTTATTAGATGCTTTGTCGACACTGCACAAATGTAAAGTCAGCAATTCAGGAATCTCAAAATGTTTTGTGCAAACCCTACACGTATATCGACCATGCATCTTGATGTGATCTTCAAAAGTGTGTAATTTTCTAAATCTCTTGGAACAGTTGAGACACTCAAAAGGTTTAGTGTTTTCATGGGCAGCTAAATGTACAGTTAGCAATTCTTGGGAAATAAATTTTTTATTGCATAGGTTACATTTGTACTTCAAATCTAAAAAGAAACTTCTACTTACAGAACTCTCAAGGGACAAGAAATACCTGCATGAGCCCTCAAATGATCTAGAAAATGATTGCTTGACAAGTTTCTTTTACAAAAACTGCAAAACACATAATTATTGTGATTTTCAAGATGAGTTTGTAAATCCTCATAGAATAAATTACACCTTGAACACCACAGATTTCTTTTATCTCTGCAAAGAAAGGGCTAACAAAATACAATTAGAATAGTCTAAACCTACATGTGCTTATGTTTCATATGCAAAGACAAGTTTCTGATATTAACACCAACGAAACTACAAAGAATGCAGTTGGTGTTCTGGTTACATTGCTTTCGATAATTTGCTATTGCTTGTTCAACATCTTTTGTTGGAACTTTTATTAACTTTTGTTTCCTCTGAGAAAGAAGTATTAAAGGCTCATCATCATCCAACTCTGAAAACTCACTTTCATATTCAGGAAGATCGCTACCACTTAATTGATATTCTTTCATCTAAAAGAGATAACATTATATAAATTTTTAAAAAAATGATTTTGTAACCTGTTCTTTTTTGTATGCGCGCATACATTCTAAACTATTTTTCACTTGATCATAAAATTTGAGGAACGAGTTTAATTGCTCCGTGCAAACTTGGCATATGTTTTTTGCGTATCCTTCAAGTTCTACCTATAAATCAATTAAATTATTTACAAAATCATTCCCCTAAATTTACACTCGACCTCCAAGCGGAATAAAGTTCTAAAGTCGTTAAACATTTTGTGGTCTTCATTTAAGTGTTTAAGATTTTCACTTTCTTTAAGACACGCAAAACATAACATTTTCTGATTTTTATTGAATCCCTTGTTCATTATGCTATATGATAACTCAAAAAACCACAAAACGTTAGGGACAAAGCATTGCCTAGTTTATTGGTTATTCTTCTTCTTACTTTTTTTGGCCATTATTAGCATGGATCAATGTTAGCGGCTCATTTGTTGAGACCTCAAAGGATGCTTTCTTAAGGAAACATCCCATCATCTCACACGAATCCCTATAGATAAAAAAAAGAGTAAGTAGCTATTTAGCACGTTACGATTTTAAATAAGTGTCCGTTTGACATCAGTCTTCTTTGGTGTAATTAAAAATAGTCCAATTATATTTCGCTTTATCTCTGCCTCGGAATAATTTGAATATAAAATTTCTGTCAATCCGCTGCCGCTTGTTTTTTATTGAATCTCCCGCCGTTTTTGCAATGAACATGAGAATAGTGTGCCCGTTTATTTTTTTATAGTGTATTTTAAGGCGTTTTCAATTCTCTTTTTTTGCAATATTTCCTTTTTCTTAAATCAAAGTTTAAGATGTCTGAAGGGGGCACGTCAAACGGTGTGTGTTTAGTGGAGGATGAGGATATGGCACTTTACAAAAAAGATGCCCTTAATGTTGTAACCTTTAATTATAGTGAGTAGAATGGCATATTTGAAATGGGTTTGTCATGATGTTTGTTATCTTATAGTTTACGATTTAAAGACGCCAAACGACGTTACCTTTAAACCTGAAATGGCTCATCAAATATTTGGAGAAAGGTATTAGTTCATTTTCGGATTATTTCAATTTCTAAGCTCTATTCTCCTTTAAACAGCGAGTCCATATTCGGATACCAGTCCTTGTCAATAACTTTAAACTATCTCCACAATTCATGTAAATGTTACGTTGATATAAAAACATCCCGTAAAGTAAAAAACAACAATATTAAAGCTGATAACATCCTCGACACTCTTGGAAAGTGGCTCCCGACGAATTTTACAGTTAGCCCGGAAGTTTTTTCAGAGTGGTACTCCATCGAAGATCACGAGAAGATGTATGGCAATGTTTTAGAAAAATTCCAAGATCAAGAAAGGAGTATGCGTAAAAGTGTTTGTTTAGTTTAATATGCCAGAATTTTTGCGTTTTAGTGCACAGGTTTGGCATGGAGAATGTTTTGGCCACTTACAAGATCACGGAGAATGAAATAGTAGATCCGTCTTTTAAAGAATTTCACAGCAGGTTCGAAACTTTCATAGTTTGGTTTATTGATGCTGCCAGCTTTATCGATTTGGATGACGACAAGTGGTTGATCTACTATGTGTAAGGTTTCATTTTAACTTGATTGATTACTAAATAACTTTACTTACATTTTTTTAATTTCTTGTACCAGGTGGCCAATTAAGGACGCTGGCACTATCTGGTAGTAAAACATCAACGAAAAAACTTATATCTAAAGTGGTAAAAATAAAATGCTGGGAATTATTTTTAAGTTTCCAAAATTGCCCTCATGGGGCATAATTGGATTCTTAAAATTTAAATCCCATTTTTTTTAGAAATAATCTTATAGTACAGCTAGAGAAAATGGATATAGTTCTACATCTGAGATGAATTCATTTTTTTTTTGTTAAATTATTTTTGCTCTATCTCTTAAAAGAAATTGGTGGGGGTGTTTGAACATTTTCGGAAATATATGTTAATAACAGTTCAGAATGACTGAACCAGCACATTTTGTCAGACTTAGGCTTGTTGAAAAGGCTCTTTACGTCTTTTTCCAAATCACTAAATAAAATTTATTTCCTCAATAACCTTAGACGAAACGTTATCACTTTTTTGCAACAAAAGATAGCCAAGTAAGTGTCTAACACGCTAGTGTAAACCGCAGTTCGATAATGTCGAAATGATGTTGCATCATTGGTAATGTTGTCAGTATACCTGCCATTATAAAATCCAAATTTTTAGAAGTATCTAGCAAAACGGATTTACTTTAAATTATACAGGGGAAGAGTTGTATCGCTCTAACTAGCAGAGCATGTGCAGGGTGTTTCAAAAATCAGATTTTGTATGAGAGCAGTAGAAACACGGTTTATTGTGTTTTTAAATAACACACCCTGTATATTCTTCATTTTCGAATTCTAGGAAAGAAGCCAAGTTTGTTCAAGTGTTAGTATAGATTGAGGGGAAGACCAAAAACTATTCTACAAAAAAGAATAAAATTTAATACGGTGTTTATTTTAGTTGGTTATCTGATATGTAATAATGTTTCTCAAAAAACACGATTTAATCTAAAAATTAAAAAATCTTTAATCATAAGTTTTTCATCCCAAGTCTTTACGATAAATTCTTTTCGAGTTAGGCCGATTTCCAATTGTGTAATTTATAGTTTAGTTTGTTTATTATATTAATATTTATTTAGATACTTAGAAACTCTACTCTGAGAATCCATAAGCGAATTTTTTCTTAATTCTGCAAGAAATTTGAAAATAACCCATTTATCAATGGATAATTAGAAACTGTTATTAGGTACGAAGAATTCGAGCACCCCGTATCGAAGAAAACCATCCGTTCCCCAATCGGTTTTTGCACCGTTTATCGATTTTTCGCGTATCCCAACGGGATAAGAGCCAGAATCAGCCAATTTTTCATATTGCCTTCGCATCAGAGACGGGGCATCGGAACGAAACTGTACCAAACAGTAGTAAAAGTGTTAAGGAGCATGGACGAAGTGGTAGACGTAACTGTTGAGGAACCCACTTTGGCGTTTCAAAAAATTCGCGATCTGGATGACTGCCTAATGGTCCACAAGGAGTTACAACGTTTGAAAAAGGAATTTTCCATGTTCCGTCCTAAGCAACTGATGGAACTGGGCAGAAGTTTGAAAATCGGCAGGAAACAGTGCGAGAGGGTATACGACGTTTTGGGGTGTTGTTACATGATCGAAAAGGGACCCTCTCACCACGAGAAGTTTTTGCAAGAAATCAAACAGAGGTTGACTGACGAGGTTAAGGTAAATAGGTGCTGTACTGTAAGCAAAAATTGTGGACTTTTTTCAAAAGTTAGGCCTAATAATAATTGACCTAAAAATTTAAATAAGGGAAACAACTTAAAAAAAAGGATTCGCCGCGCACTACACGTGCTTTGAAGTCAGTCCAAAATTTTTGATCACACTTGCATCTAGCAGTTTATTTTAAAGTTCTTTCAGGTTTTTTATACTATTTTTTTTTACTTTAGAAAGACAGTAAACCCGGAAAACGTTTTTGTAACAAGGAAAGGTTGAGCCTGGCACTGCATATGGACAGGACGCCTGAAGTTGAGATGGAATTTAAAAAACACTTGGAAGATATTGAGCCTTCTGTGAAATATCTGCTCAAACGATTAGGGAAGGAAGCCGCTTCTGACTGATCCCGTTTTGTTCTCCATCTTTCTGATTAATTTTCATTTAAAAAAAAAATATTTATTGTGTCTTTGATGTCTTAAAAAAAAAGAATACTGGTTCATAAAGAGATTTATAATTTATAAACTTGTATATCTCCCTTAGGCCCTAATTTAATTTTTTTTCGGCGCGGCCTTCGCAGACCTTCGTTTAATAATTTTGTTGACTCTCGCGATTTCAGCCAGCGTTCGGTTTATGTACATCATCTGGTCTTCTACATTGTCCTTTTTGATCTGGACAGCGTGCTTTTTCGATAAGGCCATGTGCGTGTATATGTTCCATATGGAATTCTTCACCTAGGTAAGTTTGAAAAAAACATTAGGGGTTTGTGCGGGTTGGAAATGGATGTTCACGCGAACATTACTTTGAGATTCTTCCCGAAATCGTTTTAAAAACGACCCGCGTTTAAAAGAATTCTGAATTTAGGCACTTAACCTAAAACTAATTTTTAGCGCCTCTCCGATAGAGCGTATCATATTTGATTTTTTTTTAAGTCTATTTCACAAACCTGTAGAGCAACAAAACCCCATTAGGGCAAAATGACTATGGAGTGACCCAATGAATAAATTAAATTAATTGATTTCATATAACTTTTTTCTCTGCAGTATTTTGCCAAAATACGTCTAAACCTCTTAGGGAAAATAGTTAAGTGAGTGGATATCGCGCTGAGTGGCTGAAATGTAGAGGCATGCGCGGAAAATCATAACTTTCTCTACGAAAATAATGCCGGCTGCGGCGCATTAATTTTTACCGTAGAAGGACCAATATTTGTTCTACCAAGTGAACTAGCTGTATGGTTTTACCTATTGTTATGACTAATGAAATTCTGGAGCTTATGGAGCGAAATGATCCACACCATCATCAGAAGTAAGATACGAGAAGCCAAAGAAAAAGAACAATGCCAAGAAATAGAACACTACCAAAATCAATACGATAACTTCAATGTATACCGCAAAATAAAAGAAGTTGCTGAAAAAATCACAAATAACAAATACAATAAGATAATAGATCAGGATGGTAATTTGTCATCAGCAAAGATCGAATGAAAAAAATACTTGAAAGAACTATTCCACAGCATCAGAGCAAAGCAAGAACTTATCATTGAAATCGACTCAGGAACTGAAATACTCCCAGACGAATTTTCTTCAGCCATCCAATAAGTGAAGGATGGGAAAGCACCAGGTCTAGATGAAGTGCCGTCAAACCTGCTTAAGCTACTTGAGAAGGACCAAATCAAAACAGTTACAAGAATTTTCAACTCCATTCCAGGAGTAATACCGGACAAATGGCTAAAATCTGAATTTATAATTTCCAAAGAAATCCCGCGCGAAGATCTGTGGCGACTACCGTACTATTAGCCTGATGAGTCATTTGTTGAAACTATTTCTAAAGGTCATTCATAACAGGAACTATCGAATATGCGAAGAACAAATAGCGCCAAATCAGTTTGGATTTGTGAAAGCCATAGGCCTTATTCAGTGTGCAAGTTTTATTTCAAAAATGTAGGGACGTGAGCTGTGATATTTTTGCATGTCTAATGGACTATAGGAAAGCGTTTGACCGTGTTAGACATCACCTAATGATAGATGCCCTGAAGGAAACCGGTATGGACGGAAAAAAAGGTTGAGATTTTGCGAGGTGTTAGACAGGGATGTATCATTCCACCCCTGATCTTCAGTCCTTATTCGGATGGCACCTTTAGAGGAGCACTAAAAGATATAGATGAAGGTGTCTCTATAAATGGTCTCAAACTTAATAACCTGCGATACGCAGTTGATACACTAGTATTCGCGGATACAATAGCAAAAGCTAATGGACAAAGGTACAGAGAAGAACTTGATATAAACACTGGTAAAACCAAACTTGTGATAATAGTAATAAATACATAAATGGAGCAAATCTATACATAAACCAAACAAGAATCCAGTCTCACAACTACCTGGGAACTCTAATTAATCGTGGGGCAATTCTCAACAGATCCGGTGCAGAATTCGAAAGGCTAAAAGTGCTTTCTTAGTCACGGGTCAAGTAATCAAAAGCCCCAACCTTTCATTGGAAATAAAGAAAAACTCCTAAAGTGTTACCTTTACTCGGTTTTTCTGTATAGTGTGGAGACATGGCCTTTGAATGCTGAATGTTACTAATGAAGAAGTGTTACGGAGAATTAAAACTTCCATGGAAATGGTCAACATCGTCAAATGCTGAAAACTTCAATTCCTGGGTCACATCAGGAGAAACAAAATAAGATATGAATTACTCTAGTGTATCCTTCAGGGAACAATTCCAGGAAGAGCGCCAGGACGCAAGAGACTCTCTTGGCTGGCCAATCTTCGAGCATGGTTTGGCAAATCTTCCACACAACTGTTCCGCATTGCAACCGACAAAATTATCATAGCCCAGAATAATGGCCAACGTGCGTAACGAACAGACATCCTAAGAAGAAGCAGAAATGAGAATGGTGTACCAAAGGTGCACCATTATCTACATATAGAGAGCCTTTTTTTTAAGCATACAAAAACCAAGTATAAAAAGCATAATATTCTCGGTCATTTGAGGAACTGTCATCTCCACTTGAGGTTATAATTAACGAGTCTCGGACCCTTAGTAGGGATAAAAAAATTTATTGCACCAATTTACCTAATTAAGCGGAACTGGACGTAATTCCACATTTTATTACTCTACATCGTTTTGAAATAGCCTATAAATTAAGTTTGGAGATATTGCGCCCTTGAAATTTTTCAATATTCCGCAATTATTGAAAATTTAATTTCATTATCTTTTTTAAAAATGATGCAATTTTAACACTACCATATCGATGTCTCGCATATGTTTCACCGCGTTATTTTTAATTTCTGTAACCAACGATTCCGAGTTCAGCGCCTCTATGTTCGCGTTCTCGAAACGGGCTTGTAAACTAGCAATTTCGTTATTCAGTCCCATTATGACGAAGCTCTTCTCTTCGATCATTTTCATCTGCAAGGTGTAATAGTCCAATCAAAAAAAAAAAAAAAAAAAAAAACTAAAAAAAAGCATGCATTTAGAGAAGCGTTACCATATTCATTTTGCAGTTTTTCAAAACGTCAAACCTAGTTCGTTCTATGGTATCCAGCAGCGCTCTCGCTTCGGATAAAGCCCTGTATCGCGATAGAATGCCGTCAATATTGACAAATTCATCACAGTTTTCTACTACCTTTAGCAAATAATCCTAAACAAATTTATATTATCAAGAACAACCGGTAGATAATTGTGGTAGTTATACTCAAACATAAACAGGACAAGATCACTACTAAGATCCACTCCCAACATGGTCTCTCTCACTCTTATGCTACTATTATTCATTTATCTTTATTGCTATTGCTTTTTTAAATTTCCCGTTTGACCTGGGTAACAATATTTCTGTATCCATGCTCCCCTATTATCTTATCCTGTTTATGTTTCGCATCCATACTGGGTAAATTTTGTAGCTCTTCATCTGCTTATCCATCCGCCTCCTGGTCGCTTCCATCACCACACATTCTCTTTCCAACTTGTTAATCTCATTTTGCCTTTCGTCCGCTAATTTTTGATCTTCTTCCATTTTCCTTTTAGCTCTCGCTCGTTTCTCGGAATTATCTCTAACGAACTGCGCAATTGGTCAACGTTAGAATTATTTTGTAAACTAAACTGGCAACCTCGCTAAATGCCACAAAGTTTTCCCTCAGCTCGTTCTCCTTCACCGCCAGATCTCGCCACTGCTCCTTTAGAACTTTGACAGCTCTGTCCCGCACTTTTCGAGTTTGCTTGAGCCGTTGCTCAGTCTTCGTTAGATGCATGTTGAGATTGGTTCGATTTCTTTTCGCGTTAGCTTCCGCGTATCTGACCGAACCGCTCAAACACATTCTTTAAAGATTTTATAACATAGATAATAGACAAGTACACCTTGATTTACCGATTTCATGTACAAATTATTTCGGTAGTAAATATTTTACTGGAAACTTACTCAGCCTGTTTGCAAATTTGCTTCGACGCGATATTTTCTAGGACATTCTTCTCGGGTGCATATTCCTGCGGCGCTTGGTACCTGGTCGCGACTTTGCCGCTCGTTTGGAAAACAGTTATCAAGGAATCTTTTCTGGGCAACGCTCGATGAGACTGAATATAATCCATTGTCGAAACGGTTTAATTTGAATTTATATTGGCGAAAATAACCCTCGCATGCCCAGTACAACCCAAATTTTGATCAGATATTCAATTAAAACATTTATTTAAGCTGTAGACAAGTGTCAATCAATAAAATATACTGGGTGGTCATGATATATCTAAGCAATACCAAACTTCTGGCCATTACTACCATAACATACTTCCCAATGTGGGTCTAGAGATCCAAAGCCACTCGCCCACACCAGTTAAAAACCAAAGACTTATCCTAAACAATGAGTTATGAGTATAAACCAGCAGCCAACATAAATATACATTTATGAACGATTTGGCCCTTATGCTTGTGGTAGGATTTTCCATAATTTGGTTCATTCAATCGCGTTGTACGTTTGAAAATGCCAAAGCTGTGCGATTTCACCAAAAGGTGAAGCTTACCTCTGAAAACCGATCATGACATAATTGGTTATTCCACACACTAAATGTGCAAAAACATTTTTAATAATGTTTAACGAATATTTCGTGGCCACAAAAATCTCAAAGCTCCCTTTGAGAGACCAACAATTTCACGCCCGGAAATGTCAATTGTCTTTGAATCTTATGTCTGTGGTTTTAGCAAACAAAGAAACGATTATTATCTAATATTCTTGAAAACTCCTTAATTGGAAACTAAAATTCCCACCTTATGCCATCATTGACACGTTAGGCTCCATGGAATTTTTCAATTCCTTCTCCTCTTTTTCTCTCGCAATTTTGTTGATCATCTCGTATTCGCCGACGGCTTGTTTGATAACAAACAATTGCTGTTCGACATTTCCCGCGTGGACAGCATCGACGTTTTTTCTGTCGCAAATTTCCAAATACATTTTTTCGCAAATCTCTTTGATGGCGACCTGAAAAATTTAACCTTTGTCGCGCCATTTTAAATTTGATCGAAGTGTGCTACCAGTTCCGACATTTTATCTGTGGTCATCCCCATGACAAAGTGATGCAACCTACCCCACTTGCGAGTTACGAACTGCGCCATCTCGTGTCGTTCTTCCAGAGTTGTAATCTTATTGAGTATTGTGTTAATGTTGTTGATGTAAGAGTCTGTAATTTGTTTCTAGAATATTATAATATAGAAATTACAAGCAAAAAATGTAAATTGGGGTTGGGTTGACTTACCTTCGAAACAGTAAAATATCAATTGAATTACTTCTTAAATGCATGCATGTATAAGATTATTAAACAACACTCATACCTACCAAATTTGATTTAGCTTTCTCTAATTTGATCATGTCTCTTTGCTGAATGGCGTTTAACTCGTGCTTAGCGGTTAATAAAGCCTCAAACCTAAAAAGAGGTTTTAAAAATCCGCAGTTCACAAAATACAAAAAAATAACTATACCGCTGCAGAAGATCGGTAACATTTTGCATCGAAGGTTCGTATTCAACAACGCGGGCCAAAAAATTCTCGTAAATTTTGTACGAAGCAATATTTTTATCCATCGCCGTTTTTACTCGAGCAATTTCTTCACATTTTTGCCGTAATTCTTTAATCTTCAAATCCCTCTCATTTCGCAATCGATTTTGTTCCACGATTTTGTTTTTCGCTCGCTCTTTTTTCTCCTTGTTTTCCTGTATAAACTGGAAAAAAATAGTTTTCCGTAGGTACAGCAAATTTACCTTCAACCACATACGTACCTGGCTAAATCTAATAAAATTCTGCCTAAGGTTGTTTTCTTTCTCGTTTAAATCTTCCCACTGTTCATCTAAGGATCTTCGTTTTTCTTGCGCTGTTTTGCGAGTTTGGTTTAATTTATTCATCGTTTTATCGAGACGCTGCTGAGCGAGATAGTGGGTGATTTCTACGCTCCGATCGATTGCATCTCCGCTGTCTGGTTTCCTTTCGAATATAATTGTTATAACAAAAAAAAATTATAACGAGATTAATACCTCAAAGTATTGGTCTGTGCCTTGGAGGCGAAGTGTTCACCGGTATATTCGTGGTTGATACGCTTGGGAAAGTGTATTTTCTCGTAGGACGGCTTTATAACTCTCGATTCCATTTTAATAAACACAAATTAATGTTTTGTCAATAAAACGTTTGTCTCTAGGTAACAACAATATTTAACATTTATATTTATAGTCGTCTATAACGTTCGTCTTGGACATCTTCAAAATTCTATTTTCTTAATATAAACCGCACAAAGTAATTCTAATAATGACACCGAAAGATCGAATAAAGCATTTTTTGACGTCATCAGAAGGAAAGAGAAGCCATCAATGATCCAACCTAGAATTTCTTCTGTGGTTAAGTGAAACACAATTGTGTCAAAACGAGCGCTTATGGTTGAATGCAAGCTCCAACGTCAATTCTCGTTCATTACGCGAAAGTTGGTCGGCCATGTTTGTTGGGTGTCTCAATTTGACCTGTCAAGATTCAAGTGGCCTTTCGGTTTGAGCAATTTGTACCCCTGATCATTGAAAAACTCCGCACGGAAAATCGAAATATTTTCATAAATCCGTTTCAAGGTTCCACGAAGAGTCTACAAGTCCTGAAACAAGTGAAAAAATGGCGCAGCCAGGCCTGCTGCCCATCAAGTTCCAAGAACATTTGCAGGTAAGCCGGAAATTTACGCCCCTTGAGCAGGTTCCTATTTTTTGTTCGTTCTTTATGACGTCATTTGGTTAAAACAATAGAAATTCCAGAATTGGCCTCAGCATTTTTTCTTCGTTGGCTTTTAGCCGGTGCTGTTTTTTTTGACGTTTGATTTTCAGTGCGGAGGCGGATGTTTTTCCACGTATTCTATTTTTCAAATGTCGCGGAAGCTACGAAAACGGATCGCTCTGTTTCTAATCCTCCCCTTCGTCTCTGTCCCAACATGAACGATTCTTTATGAGAAACTAGGTCATAAAGTGACTTAAGGGGTGAAGGATTATGGGGAATGCAATATTATAACATCGATTAATTTGTAGATAAAGACCAGCAAAAAATTGCTGTCAGCATAATTTAAATGGATTGAATAATTGATTGTTGCCTTGTTTGTCCATTTCAATTTTCTATTTGTTATTATGACATTTACCCTTTTAATCAGATTTGTTAAGGATGGTCTGCTAAAAAACAAAGAAAGATTTTTATACATTATGCAATTTTCAGAAACCGATTTTACTATAATAATCTTGGCTTGTATAGACGAGTTTGATGTTACGCTTTCTTGAATTCATTTCAATAATCGTAAAAATATACTGATTGAAATACATGTGTGTGTCCATATATTATTTTCCTCTGTGCTATCTCCTTAACAAGACCGGCGATTTTAGTTAACAAACATTGGTATCAATGTCACGAACATATCGTTCGCCACTCTCACCATGGAGAGCGACAAATTCATCTGTGTGAGGGAAAAGGTAGGTGATACCTCGCAGGTCGTCATTATTGACATGGCAGATCCCAACAATCCTATTCGACGTCCAATCACAGCCGAAAGCGCCATCATGAACCCGGCATCTAAAGTGATAGCGTTGAAAGGTTAGGAATTGATCTTCACTGCGCAATAGCGTTTAAAATCTGAAAGTGCTGTCTTTAATAGGAAAGGCAGGTGTGGAGGCGCAGAAAACTCTCCAGATATTCAACATCGAAATGAAATCGAAAATGAAGGCGCACACCATGCATGACGACGTCATTTTCTGGAAGTGGATCAGTCCCAACACGTTAGCTCTGGTTACCGAATCTTCTGTTTACCATTGGTCCATGGAAGGCGATTCAACGCCGGTCAAGATGTTCGACCGGTAAGTTGCCGCTGATGGTTCAGATGTCAAGAATTGGCAACATTGCTTTCGTCCTGAAAGAATTCTATTTATTGATTAAATTCGATGTGATGTATACTCTGTATCAAAACAGGCATTCGCCAGATAATAAGGATTTGGAACGTGTTGTTTTTGCTTACATTCTAAATAGGTTAGTTTATTAAAATTTGGTCGTTCCCGGTATTGAAATTTTAAAGTAATTTTTTTTTATTTGACAAAACCTAATAACACAAAATATCCATAGGGTAGATAATAGGTACAATAATTTTCCTCTGATAGATTCTTCTAGATGGGTCAAAGAATCGAAAAAAAAAACTTCTCGTGAGAATTATTCTACCCTACAAAATTTCGGACAGCATTTGGAGATATACAAACATGAGATTGGAAAAACTATAATAATAATACAATTCTGGATTTTCAAATTAAGGAACATTTGTGATGAGGAACTCTTTGAAACCATTGATGAATTTACAATCTCGCCCGTCTTAAATATACGTTTCGACCAGGCATTTAAAATTTTTATTAAGTACAAGAAGCGATCACACAAAAAGCATAAACGGCACGTTCCTAAGTAACAATCAAGGGACCTCGGTGGCCTAACGAGAGTCTACACCCAAAGCTTGTGTGTTTGAATCGCACCGAAGCATGAACATTGGTGTGAATGTGTTTGTCCGACATGTTATAGTGTTGTTCTCAGGTTATAGGTCGTGAATTATATTATTTGCGTTTATTTTTGGCTCGTGTAAAGCTGTGTTCGTATTTAATCTACGTCAGTTTGTATTGATTTGTATTACAAATCGTGCCATGGTGTTTGAGTACAACCCGTAAAATGCTAGATAAACTTTTTATTCGTCTACCAGAAAATAAAAGCCGTCGTTTTTTGTTAACATTATGTTCAGGTGTCACTTTAGCCTTAACCGTGCAAAAATTTTTAACGCTTTGAACTTGCACCCGTCCTATTGCAGTCTCCATAGGACTGCCTTCCTGATCTATATAAAATAAAGTACACTTTAGTATTTAGGTTTCCACTAGTTTAAAAACAAACCTTTTTTTTTGTTAAATAATTGTTAAATAATTTGATTTTTGAAAACTAGAAAACTTTAAGCTGATTACAACATTATGTTGGATTAAAACTAGTGGCTAAATTTTCTATGAGCATACCTTTTAGCTTTAACACCGCGAACCTCAGCAAAAGAAAAACTTTTCGTGTTTTGTGTGTAAGATGTTACCATAAACATATCCACTAAAGGTAAATTATCAGATTGGCCTTTTAAAAAATCGACTTCGGTCATTTTCAAAACTTTCTTTTTGATAATAAACACAAGATAAACAAAAGCACATGACAGGGTCAAGACTAAAATTAAAAATAAATCTATCTAAATTTAATGGCTTCTCTATGCTATCGCCCTGCTGGCGCTTAGTCTAACGAGCGAATTGACGTCACAACGGGTCACAGCCAATGACAGCGCGTTTCAATTTTTAATTGCTTATATTTGTTTCATAGAACTACTAATTTTTCTTTTTAAACTGTGGTTCTTTTAATAGTGTAAACTTCTATAAGCAATATTTTTCAATTCAAATTTTGTTCAAGTTCCCTATTGCCTTAGTAGCAGTGCCAATTATTAAGAGAATACATGAATGAAGTCTCAATTCTAATTCTCAATAATTCAATTCTAAATAATTTTTAAAAGAAACTTCTACATGCTACTGCAGTACCATTTTCAAAATTTGTGGATTCTTCCTGCATTGGTTGTTGTCAAATCGAACTGATGTTGAGTTTCAGTCTGAGCTCGACTGCTAAACTCCTCGGGAGTTTCAGTTAAGCTCTGAAGAAGTCAGCAGGATGATTAGCAAGATCGATTCAACAACAACCGACTCAGTTTTGTAAATAGTACACTACGTGACTCGCGGTGCGATTTTTACAGGCATTCTTCTCTCAACGGCTGTCAGATAATCAACTATCGCACAGACCCGAAACAAAATTGGCTGCTTTTGGTTGGTATTAGCGCGCAGCAGTCGCGAGTGGTCGGTGCGATGCAACTGTATTCGGTAGAAAGAAAGGTTAGGGTTGGAAAACGCGAACTAGTTCGTTGTTACTCGCGGTGAGTTGCAGGTATCGCAACCGATCGAAGGACACGCCGCGTCGTTCGCATCTTTCAAGATGGAAGGTAACCAGGAACCGTCGACTCTGTTTTGTTTCGCCGTGCGCACGGTCCAGGGCGGCAAACTACACATTATAGAGGTGGGTCAGAGTCCCGCGGGCAACCAGGCGTTCCCGAAGAAAACCGTCGACGTATTTTTCCCGCCCGAAGCGCAAAACGATTTCCCCGTCGCGATGCAAGTGTCGACGAAATACGACGTCATCTATCTCATCACCAAGTACGGCTACATCCACATGTACGATATCGAGAGCGCCGTCTGCATCTACATGAACCGGATCTCGAGCGAGACGATCTTTGTTTCCGCGCCACACGAGGCCACCGGGGGAATAATCGGTAACTTTCAGTTTTTCGGGGGCGTGGTCAGTTTTTTGACGTAAACGAAAAAATTTAGGCGTGAATAGGCGGGGTCAGGTGTTGTCCGTGTCGGTAGACGAAGACAGCATCATCCGTTACGTCAATCAGGTGCTGCACAATCCGGATCTGGCACTTAGATTTGCGACGCGCAACAACCTCTCAGGGGCGGAGGAACTCTTCGTTAGCAAATTCCAGATGTTGTTCCAGAACGGTCAATATACGGAAGCGGCCAAGGTATGGGTTTGGTTTGCATTTTTATGTTGGCTTAGATGGGTGCTGAATTCAGCTTAAGCCACGGTCTTTACTCACACTGTTCTCTAGTTCAATCTTAACCCACTGCTGCAATCATCAACAAGTAGATATAAATGTTGGCAGCTTGGACTTACTGCAGTGAAGGTCGCCATAGAATTTGGATCTTACCATTCATAAGCTATAGCTATAGACAGCACACATAAATGATGAGAAAGGAGACACTTTTCTCCAAAAAAACGCTTAATGAAATATGCTGATATGAAACAAATTATTTAAGTTTTATTGCTCTTAGAACTTAGCCACTTGCTTACAATAACGATCTATTTTTTGAATGGCTTCCACATATTAAAAGACGAGTTAGTAATAAATATTTTAAATAGCGCTGGTAAAATTCTTTTAACCTTTGACGTCTACTTCGTATTTTGAAAATATAATAAAAATAACTTTTCAAGCAATTATTTAAAATTCCCTAACATAATAACATCTATACAAACAGGGTGTTTCAAAAAATGCAATATTCAAAAATAACATTTGAATTATGTGTCGCTTAGTGACGCTTCATAAGAAAATATTTAAATTTTATCAACAGTACCTTTCTGAACTTAATTTTCCTAAGGTCCTTTTATAGGATGCACTTTTGCACTAACCAAACTATTTTTTTTTAAAGCAACAATGTAACAACCTCCCTTTCGAAATGAAGGCATTCATAGGTTTTGGACTCTGGCAATAAAAAATCTGTAAGCAGAGATTCTGATAAATGATTTTTGTTTAAAGCTCAGTAATCTATCTTTTTGTTAATGCTTCCATGGTTTTCGAAAACATTGGCTGCTCGCTACTCGATCTTGGAGCCCTCTAGAGGAGGAACCGAAACAGACTTCATTCTTGTAGCATTGCTTGTCAAACTTTTTTTTGTTTATAACATTAATTTGATAACTCGCAATATAATCGAACTGATTTGGATATCTTTTGATAACACGCAAATTTTGTTTCATCGAGTCTTGTTTTCCGGTTATATTTATGCAGAGACCTAAGTCCGAATAATCATATTAAATCGTTTTTGGTTTAGGTGGCCGCTAACGCCCCAAAGGGTATTTTGAGGACGCCCGCGACGATCCAAATGTTTCAGCAAGTCCCCGCCCAGCCGGGCCAGAACAGTCCCCTGTTGCAGTATTTCGGCATTTTGCTAGACCAGGGACAGCTCAACAAGTAGGTTTTTTTTTGGAGTGTCGGTGGCGTTTTGTTTCGACCGCGAATGGTTGACAGGTACGAGTCCCTGGAGCTTTGCAAGCCGGTGCTGCTTCAAGGTCGCAAGCAGCTGCTCGAGAAGTGGATCAAGGAGGAGAAGCTCGAGTGTTCGGAAGAACTGGGCGATCTCGTGAAGCAGGTGGACCAATCGTTGGCGCTCTCCGTTTATCTAAGGGCGAACGTGCCGTCAAAGGTCATACAGAGTTTCGCCGAGACCGGACAGTTCCAGAAGATCGTTTTGTACGCCAAGAAGGTGTCGTATAGCCCCGATTATGTGTTCCTGCTAAGGCAACTGATGAGGACTAATCCCGAACAAGTACGATATATATGCTAATTTAATTGATTATTTCGGTTGTACGAAGTTGAAGTGACCAAATTAGATCTTATTTATGTGCTTTGAAGTCAAGATTTGAACGAACATTTTCAATAAAAAAGTAAGAAAAGTTGTGCAATGGATACGTTAAATCAGGTGTTACTACACTAATTACTATTACTATTACTACTAATTATTAATTATCATTAGCAGTATAGGAAACCAGGGGTCACCACTCTTAAATAAGTAAAAAAATTATCTCAGAAAAAATAAATTGCATAAATTAACCAAAAAAAGTATATAAAAATATATCTTTTCGTGGTCGTTCATTGTTTGCATGTTTCTGCTGAAGCATTTAAAGAAAATAAAAAAACATTAAATTGCTACTCTTAAATGTGAATATGAAAAAAAAATTTTTACTTTTATATCCAGAGTTAACGGTGTATTTACAAAAGAAAGAGTACTTTTCCAGAGATATTAAATCCGAAATACTGCAAAGATTACGAACAATGGTTTCAATTTGTTACCTATATCAAAATAATTTAAAATAGGACACACGAACCCCTCTCCTAAAAATTAATATTTCAGTTCTACTTTGCACATATAAATAAAAAAAAAGTAGCTAAATTGCTAATTAATTGCATATTTTGCACCATCTGATAAAATAAAAAATCAAATTTTTATCAATTGACAAAACGTGGATATACTTTCATAATGAGATTTAAAAAAAAATCGCAATTTTTTCTTGCAAAGATCGTTGTATGCACGGGCTAGATACACATGAACCTATACCAAAAAATTTTAGAAATCGTGCAAGACTGTGCAACATTTTTCTTGCTTAGGGAGCCGCGTTCGGGAGCATGCTCGTAGCTGACGAGGAACCGCTCGCCGACATAAACCAAATAGTCGACATTTTCATGGAACAAAACATGGTGCCGCAGTGCACCGCGTTCCTGCTCGACGCGTTGAAAAACAACCGACCCACCGAAGGCCATTTGCAAACGCGCCTGCTCGAAATGAACTTAATGTCGGCGCCTCAAGTGGCCGATGCCATTTTGGGCAACAATATGTTCACGCACTATGACCGCGCGCACATTGCGCAACTCTGCGAGAAGGCGGGGCTCCTGCAACGTGCGTTGGAACACTACACGGACCTATATGATATCAAGAGGGCGGTGGTACACACCCATCTGTTGCCCGGCGAATGGTTGGTCAGTTTTTTCGGCACTTTGAGCGTCGAGGACAGCCTCGAGTGTTTGAAGGTCAGTCCGGATTTCTTGGGTCAGTTATAATTTATTATTGACGCACAAAAAAAAATCTATATTGATTCATAAATTTTATTTTCTTTACAATTTTAATTTTCGTCAATTTATAAATATGTATAATAAAACCGGCAAAAAAAAAGATAGATTTATAAAAAGACAATACTACAAAAAAAATCAACTATTTATCTTTTAAAGGTAATTAAATAGAAAATTTGCAAATTATATGTATTTATATCCTTTTGCTGTAGGGATTTATTTTATGGAAAAAGCCTAGTTTTTTTCACTTTAAAAGCTAACATTCCTATTGAACATTGGAGTTTGCAAAATAAAATTTCAGGTAGTTGTTTTTTCATATAAACGTATTATTTTTATTTTTTTTATAAACTTTTAATAATTGTGCACATATCTTTAATATTTCACCGGTTTGGGATTTTATTGAAAATTGAATTTTAAGAACTTTTAGGTTAAATTTTGTTACTCATCTTTTATCGAATAGAGCACTGTTTTTCACTTCCATTGAATGTCTCTTTAATTTAAGTTTAATGCAAATGCAATTAAAAACTGTTAATCTTTGCGATTTAAAAAATATATATCGGGTTTCAACAAATTCGCGTCTAGCTTCTGAGATCTCGGTAACTGATCTTAGGTCATGGGGCAAAGTTGGTCGAGATGAAATTAATAAAATTTGTTAAAGTATTGAAAATATTAAAAAAATCTATTTCGAGAGACTTTATTTTAGCAATGTTTGTCTTCTGCCGACAAAAAAATCTATTGATTATTACAAATATTGCAAAAAAATGTATACTATATATTTCAATGAATATTGTAACAAACAAATCTTATTGACATTTTCATTTGCTTTAATCATAAATGGAAATTTCACAATCTTAATGATTTTTGACTTTTGCTTTTAAGGTTTATTTGTAAAAAAAAGAGTTTTAAAAATTCGGATTGTTATTTTTTAACATAACGTCTTTGTTTATTTATGTATTTCAAAAATATTGAATAATTTTGTAAACATTTGACCTCTGTCGGATTTTCTTAGAAATTGCGTTTAAAAAACTTTTGGTATTTTTTTCTTCTTTCCGTCCATTAAATAACTTTTTTCTTTATGTATCATTTTGTAAATAATTGTTATAACGTTATAACGAACGATTGGTCCAAAAATTAGAGTATATTGCACAAAAATGTAAAGAAAAGCCCGCAATTTTAATGATTTTTGGCTGTTGCTTTTGGGGTTTACTTTATAGAAAAAAAAATTGTTTTTCAAATTTAAAAAGTATCATTCCTATTGTAAATTTAAATAAAATGTTTCGATTGTTATTTTTTAACATAACGTCTTTATTTATTTATTTCAAACATTTTGAATAATTTTATAAACATTTGACCTTTTATTTTCTTAGAAATTGCGTTTAGAAAACTTTTGGTAGCTTTTTTCTTTCACTAAATTTTATTCGTTATGTATCATTATTTTTTGAATAATTGCTATGTGCCTCTTTAATTTATCTTTAACTTACTTAAACCTACTAAGACTTTTCTTTTAATTAAATGATTTTTTTTATTTACGAAAAATTTTTGCCATTTAATGTGTCATATTTCAACAAAAATCGCTTGTCACTACTAAGATTTCAGTAACTGTAAAAGAAAAAATTAAGAAAATTTCCGTAATTAACGGCACTGTATTAGGCGACGTTTTTTCCTCTGCAAGATCCTGCTGTTTAGATAAAGATGGCTACGATCTCTCCTCGTCAAACTTACCGACCCCGTGTCTTATTCCAGGCGATGCTGACAGCGAACATACGCCAAAACCTACAAATATGCATACAAATCGCTACGAAGTACCACGAACAATTGACTACCAAGGCCCTAATCGAGCTGTTTGAAAACTTCAAAAGCTATGAAGGTCTGTTCTATTTCCTGGGGTCAATCGTCAACTTCTCTCAAGATCCTGAGGTTCATTTCAAGTACATCCAGGCCGCTTGTAAAACGGGCCAGATCAAGGAAGTCGAGAGGATCTGCCGCGAGTCGAACTGCTACAACCCGGAACGGGTCAAAAATTTCCTGAAGGAAGCGAAACTGACGGATCAGTTGCCTCTGATCATCGTCTGTGACCGTTTCGATTTCGTTCACGATCTGGTGCTGTACCTGTACAGGAACTCTCTACAAAAGTATGTTTCCGTCCGCGTCCGACGCTAACGAAGGAGACTTTTTTTTTTCTCGCAGGTATATCGAGATCTACGTGCAGAAAGTGAACCCGAGTCGTTTGCCGGTTGTGGTGGGCGGTCTTTTGGACGTCGACTGCTCCGAGGACATTATCAAAAATCTGATATTGGTGGTACGCGGTCAGTTCTCGACGGACGAGCTGGTCGAGGAGGTGGAGAAACGGAACAGGCTGAAGCTGCTGCTGCCGTGGCTCGAGAGCCGGGTACACGAGGGTTGTGTCGAGCCCGCCACCCACAACGCCCTAGCCAAGATCTATATTGATTCCAACAACAACGCCGAGCGGTTTCTGAAGGAGAACCAATGGTAATTATTAGATTCGGGTGTTTTTCAAAGACCGCGTTCGAAAGGGGCGGGGCTTCGTGATGAAATAACAAATTTGGCTTCGCTGATTCGTTGGTGTTCGAAATCTTTTGTTTGTTTTATTGATATTTTGGTATTTGGTCTACCAGGTGGCTGCATAGGCAAAAAAACAATTATGCTTTTTATTTGATGGTGCAAAAAAATGGGAAATTTCGATCTGTCCAATTTTACAGGGGGATCTAAAAGAGGTGAATCTTTGGTCAATTTTTGAGTGTCAGCCTAAATAATTTATTTTCAAGTCTGTCTTGTTTGTGTTTGTGTCCAAATTCATTTTTGAACTTCCATCATTTTTACAGGGTTGTAACTTTCTTTTGTTTTGCCTATTTTTAAGTTTTTTTTCGAGACTGTTTGGAGGCATGGTATCTTTGTTAGTTATCAAGAATTTATTGTTTGTTTTTCCTTCACTTTTCTTTTTGCCTAGTTTTGAGTTACGCTTTCCGAGTGAGTTCTGAAAAGTGTAATTTTGAAAGTTTCTATGTCTCATTTCTGAATTTTGTCTGCAGGGTACGGAATCGGTCCAGTTTTATATATTTTTTTCCATACGCCTTGGAAGGAAGGGTTTTTTTCAGAGTTGCCCAGATTTTAGTCTTTTTTTATTGAAAGAAAAAAAATTGTCTCATCGTTTTTACAGGGTGTTAAAAAAATCGAATTTGTTCTGAAACTTGTTTATCTCTTGTAAGCTTTTTGCGCCTGGTTGTATAATTTATTTCTAAATTTTATCTACATGCAAATGAATCAAGGTTAACCGGACCAGTATTGTTATTTTTTTCCCCAATACTCTTTCGAATCAAGGGTCTTTTTGTTTAAAGAGAATGAAACACAAAGTTTTTGCCCCCATTTTTACAGGGTGGTAAAAAATCTTTGGGCTATCTTTTGAACTATTTTTGAGGTGTGATGACTTTAACTAATTTGTTCTGGAATTGGTTTATTTCTTGTTCATGGGTGTAAGTCTTTTTCATTTTTGTTTATTTAATTTGTAAATTTGTAAATGTAACCTACAGAGTAGATCAAACGAATCAACACACCTCTTGTGTTTGTGAGATGAGAGTTTGTTGGAAAAAATACATTTTTATCAAACCCTTTTTACAGGATGCTGAAAACATTAATTATTTAAAGAGGGACCTCTGTAAAAATTTCCGAGATTCTGATGTTTTGTTTGAAAAAATCAAAACAAAACATTTTTCCAATGAGTTTATTATCGTGGTCTTTATGTTTCATGTTTTTTTTTTCATGATTTTCCAATGTGTATGTCATGTTTTCCTGCGATACCGCTTCTCGCAATGATTACATTTTTACATTTTTCAATAGGTACGATTCGAGGGTGGTGGGGCGGTACTGCGAGAAGCGCGACCCCCATTTGGCCTGCGTGGCATATGAAAGAGGCCAGTGCGATCGGGAACTGATAGCCGTGTGCAACGAAAACTCTTTATTCAAATCGGAGGCCCGTTATCTGGTGCATAGGCGGGACGCCGAGCTCTGGGCCGAAGTCCTGCAGGAGACCAACCCGTATCGCAGGCAACTGATTGATCAGGTCGTGCAGACCGCCCTCAGTGAAACTCAGGTAAGGTTACCTATTATTTTTTCATACTGCTACCCTACTATATTTCAATCCAACTAAGATCTAGAATAGACGATTTGATAATTACCACAAGCATTGTGATAATATTGATGTTAAATTTGTGTTTAAATTGGAAAGCTCATTGCGATAACCTTAGATCATCTTTTAATATTGTAAACTATCTTTTATTAATTTTCTAGATATTTTAGTTTGTATTATAGTAAGGAATTAGGTTGTGGAAACTATTTATAAAAGCTGAAAAAGACATTTCTGGTTCCAAAGTATATTTTAAGAAGAAATATTGTGTCTTGTTGGGGTTTACTGATCTAGTATAGAGTTCGCACACTGACTGTCCTTTTATTTTTGAAGTGGTACTGGTAACCAAAATTTATGTCAGTTAAAGTTTATTTGAGAAAGGTTTAGAGCAACAACACCTTATTAAGTATGCAAAGGGACTACAGAGTGCATTTCAAAATTGTTAAATAAGAACAAACGTTGTTCAGATTTTCACATAAATATATTAAAACGGTACCGATGTTTATAAATACAAAACGGGTAGTAATTACTTAATGTGAGGTATTACATTGAGATTTAACAAGGGGGATCCATTCAAATCCAGTTGGTCATTAAGTAATACATTCGAATCTCTCATCGTATTAATCTCCATAGCTTCTAGTAAATTTAATTTTCTACTTTTTGAAACAGTGTGTAAAATATCGTTCGATGTTCAAAATCTATTTCCTAGTATTCCACCTATTGATGTAATAAACATAATAGACAGCATGCTCACCCAAAAACAAATTAACCCAATCGTTAAACAAGATTTATTGGATAGTATAATAGTTTGTTTAGACCAAAATTACTTTGAATTTAATGGTCAGTTTTATATTTCTAAGGACTAATTAAGGGAACCCGAAATTTTTATGGACAATCTGGAAAATATTATACTTGAACATCCGTTATTTAAAAGTTTTCTTTGGTGGTACAGATATGTGGATGATGGTTTTGCGTGTTTCGTAGGGACTGAGACACAATTAGATACCTTTTTAAATTATATCAACTCATTACACAATCGTATAAAATTTACTACTGAAATCGAACAAAATAACTCTTTAAATTTATTGGATTTAACGATAACTAAAGCACAAAATAAATTAGATTTTTCAATATACCATAAACCTTCACACACAGACACTATAATACATGAGAGTTCAAACCATCCCTATACACACAAAATGGCTGCCTTTTATTCTTTTATTCATACGCTGATAACTATCCCTCTTTCTGCAATAAACTTTGAAAAAGAATTAAATATTATAAAACAAATTGCATTCAACAATGGCTATGACCCGTCACTGATAGATAAAATCTTAACTAAGAAACAATTTCAAAAAACTTTGAACTCTATATATCTATATATTACTGAATCTCAAGGTTCTAAAACATTAACATACATAGGAGAACCCAGTAATAAAGTTTCACATCATCTCTCGAAATGTGGCCTCAAAATTGCTTTTAAAACTAATAATACCCTGGGAAAATTTGTTAAAAACAATAATTCTAAATCTAATAGATCCCAGAATTCTGGAGTCTATAGATTAAATTGCGGATCATGTTCTAAGATTTATATTGGACAAACAGGTAGATCTTTCAAAAAACGTATCAACGAACATCGACGATCATTTAAAAACAATAGTTCAGATTCTAATTACGCTGTAAATTTAAATTTAGAAAAACACAATTTTGACGACAATTTCAATATTTTACACACTGTTTCAAAAAGTAGAAAATTAAATTTACTAGAAGCTATGGAGATTAATAAAACGAGAGGTTAATGACAAACTGGATTTGAATGGATCCCCCTTGTTAAATCTCAATGTAATACCTGACATTAAGTAATTACTACCTGTTTTGTATTTATAAACATCGGTACCGTTTGATATTCGCATTTGATAAACGCACGGTGTTGCCGAAACAGCAATATATTTATGTGAAAATCTGAACGACGTTTGTTCTTATTTAACTATTTTAAAAGGATTTTCATCAAGTAAAAACCACTTCAGTGCAACATTTCAAAATTCTTTTTATCTAGTACAGGTTGTGCTTTTGTTGTCCGTTCACTAATATTGAAAACGGTTCACAGCCACAGTTACACTCTATCTTATTTGACGCATTTCATAAAACGATGTTTATGTAAATTTGTTGTATGTAATAGTTGCTTTATCAAATTATCTTCAACTTCTATATCTGTCGTGGTTAACCATTCGATAATTTCTCCAAGATGAAGTTGGAGCCTGCTCTATGCATCTTGATTGACAGCTTGCTTGCCGAAATCTGCCGAAAGTGCTTTGTGATTTTGCCAAAGTAGTCTTAAAAAGTGTTAAAGATGATAACAAGGCCTCTTGATTATTATCAGATTTGCAATAGTGATATATATATTTTATTGCAAGTTTGCCTAGGCCTTAAACCGACACCAAAATTCGGCGAAACTAGGCGGTCTTTCCCATCTTGTTACTCTACATTCTTCTGATAACTTCGAGATCCCGTGATTATTTTGGTGTTTGTGTTTTTAGTAATCTGCTCTTGGCATTGAGAGATGAAAGTCTGAGTGTGTGTTGGTTGCTTTTATTGCCACCAAAGGCTGCCCCTTTACTTGGAAAAAGAAATGATAATTATAATTCTCGTTTTATTTCATTTCGTGTTCTGTCAGGATCCCGAGGACATATCCGTCACGGTCAAGGCGTTCATGACTGCCGACTTGCCGAACGAACTGATCGAACTGTTGGAAAAGATCGTTCTCGACAGTTCGGTGTTTTCCGATCACCGCAATCTACAAAACCTGCTCATCTTGACGGCCATCAAGGCGGACGCGACCCGCGTGATGGACTACATCAACCGTCTGGACAATTACGACGCACCCGACATCGCCAATATCGCTATCAGTAACCACCTGTACGAGGAGGCGTTCGCTATATTCAAAAAGTTTGACGTGAACACGTCGGCCATCCAGGTACTGATCGAACAGGTCAATAATCTGGACAGGGCGTACGAGTTCGCCGAACGGTGCAACGAGCCGGCAGTGTGGAGTCAGCTGGCCAAAGCCCAGCTTAACCAAGGTCTCGTTAAGGAAGCGATAGATTCGTATATCAAAGCCGATGACCCTTCAGCCTATATGGCGGTCGTCGAGACTGCCTCGAAGAACGAGAGCTGGGAGGATCTTGTACGCTACTTACAGATGGCACGGAAAAAGGCTCGCGAAAGGTACGTTTAATAAAACGAATTTTCTTTATTCATCTTGCTAAGTACCTGTTTCAATTTTCGCTCGCAATTCTTATATTTAAAGTTATGAAATATTCTTTAGGTCACATTGCTCATTTAAGGGATGGAAACATTTTTTATATGCCGCATCATAATTCTTGTACATTTGAACCCCGATTTGCAGGGTCTTCAATAAATGCGATAAATTTGTATGTCGCAAAAAAGCCATAAACGTATTTCCGAGAAACTAAGAAAAAGAGACTATTTTTGTATCCTAATTTACAAACCACCACTCTAGATATTTTGATTCACTTTTTGTGCACTGATTTCAAGCGGCAAAATCATTTTTTGTTGCGAAATGTTTTTTAAAAATGATGTCCCGAGCAGATTTGAAACTTTACTTCTGGTGAATCTATGACACAATGAAATAATTTGTATTTTTTATTGTTTTTATCTACCGACAGAAATCTTAAATTAAAAACTCTTAATATGTATATATAAAGTTTTGGTTTAACCATTACGTAAGTAGTTGGTGTTGCATCATTGGAAGTGACAGCTGAAGAGAGTTTAGAACTATTTTGTATTTTGTCATCGACTTTACCCAACACATACGCTTTAAGATAATATTTTTAATTTAATATATAGCAAGACAAGTGCTTAACGCAACATAGACTATGAATTAGTTTACTTTCAAACATCAGATTGGTGAGAAATAAAAACTGCTTAAATTTGTGCTTAAAAGGCATTTGTTTCCAAATTTGGAAAATATTTTTAAATGTGTTTTAATCTCAAATTTTACTGTATACGTGTAAGAATAAAAGCAACGAGGATATTTATTAAAAAAAGCTTTTTATGGGTTAAATTAGGTTTTAATTTGTTTACTTACGTCTTACTTTGTTCCAAATTGAATGGACGTTTGAAAAGTAATTGTTGACGAAATTAATAAATGAATGAAAATTGAGGAAAAAGCAGTGGCGCAACATTTTGAAAAAATGTCTGTTGCTCCTCGAAAATCTCAGTGAAATACCACTATATTTACAAAATTGTTTGATGTTGAGTAGCTGAGATCAAAATCTAGATTTTGTTTTTTGATATGTAACAATTTTTTATATTGGTACCGTTATACGGGAATTTAAAATATCTCTATAAAGGTTATTATTATTAATAAAATACTTGAAGTACCATGTGCCACCATTTAAAACGCGAATTTTAAACTTTAAATAAACAATAGCACATGGCATAAACGTAGCACTTAATAATTTGGCTTTAAGGAACCCCAGACCTAAGAGTGTGCTAAAATCGTATTTATAGCGTAGGACCTAAAATTTTTAACTCCCTACCACCTCCAAATTCAAACAATATCATAAAAATAACATTACGAATGTATAATTAATAGCACATAATTTTAGTATTAACTGTCTAATAAAATAATAAAATGAGCGATTGTTATAATTTTTTAACGTTATTATAATTATCTAAATTTCTTAAATGCTAGAAATAACTTTAACGCTTGTTTGTATTCTGAATTATTATTGTTTAGTTTTGGTTTTGGTATTGTTTATAATTAAATAAATCAATATCAGGTGATTTATTTTAATTCGGTACTTGAAGGACGTAATTATTGGGTTGTATGTTTTTCTTGTATTCTTAAAACATCGGCGATAACGGTTGACATCGCGTGCTTACAGCTACATCGAGTCCGAGCTGATCTACTCGTACGCGAAGACCGGAAGATTGGCCGACCTCGAGGAGTTTATCTCGGGTCCGAACCACGCGGACATCCAAAAAATCGGTGACCGGTGCTTCGATGACGGCATGTATGACGCGGCCAAACTGCTTTACAACAACGTTTCGAACTTTGCCCGATTGGCCATCACCCTCGTCCATCTCAAAGAGTTTCAGGTAATGAAAATCATACGAGCCTCGTTCCGTTCACTCGAGGTGATCTCTTGTCGCTTTCGAAAAATCGATGAAACCGAATTTTTCGAAAGCATACGCGCTTGGCAATGAGACTCCCAAGGTCCTACGGGATCCCCATTGGTACACAAATGATCAGGGTCAAAAAAATTGTTATTTATTTTGTCTGTTCTCCGTTCTCTGTCTTCTGTCGATGATCCATAAAAACGTGAATAACTTCGGAACCGTTGGAGCTAGGATGCTGAAATTATTCTCCTTTTAAACAGGCCACGAGGTACACAAGCCTGTAAGAAATGCCCGCGATCGGTTATTATCGTCCATCTTTTTTTCGAGATTTTCGTCAGTTTTTTCGGAAGTCGCTGTGAAACCTATAACCTATAACAAACAGCCATTGGTCTCCAGACGGAACCTATTGAAATTGAGGGGTGGTGAGGGAGTGTTTTTTTTAATTAAAAAACTATTTTTTTTTTTCAAAAATAAATAAAAAGTTCTTTTTTGAAAAAATGTTAGTGGCCATAAATCTCTATTCTTAGTAATTTTTAAAAAAGATACCGGGTGTGCCGGTATTTGTAAAAAACTGAAAATTGGTGTACCCTTTAAAAGAAAATTGACTGGCCGGTTTCTTTTACACGGAAGCTTAGGCCGTAGCGAGAGCTAAAATTCTCGTATTGAAGATTTTCTGATATTATACAGGGTGTTCGAGATATATCGCGTTATGCTGAAAAGTGCAGCAAATGCCGGAAACTTGCAGCTGTTAACTTAAAATCTGGCAGGGTGGTAGGATGCAGGCTGTAAGATCTATCGGACATCGTTAAATATATAAAAAAAAATCGAAATTTTTTGTTCGTCATTTTGGGTCGTATAAAAACATTTATTTCTCGAAAACTGTCGACCCGATCGTTAAAAATCTCGAATCAGAAGACGCAGGAGATCCTATAACCTTTATATCAGCCATATTTGAAAAAATTGAAATGAAAATCACTATTTTTCGCCCTCAATCTAGACGCGATGAAGTCATTTGACTATTATGTACTGCATGGTTTCAGAAAACAAGTATTTTCTCGAACACCATCGGAAAAATTCCGTTTTTGTGGGATTGACGATACATAGAAAACTGTTAAAAATGGGATAATTTGATTTGAACAGTATCATAAACTGTATCGAGAGAGTTTCAGGTTTCGTTTATCATACTGGGTGCGCGAGCTAGTTGAAAAAATATCATTGGAAATCGCTATTATTCGTACGAATTTTAATATTTATTAACGTTTGCCGTAACTTTAAAGTTCGGCGAGACGTGAAAGATACTTTTTATAGGACACAATTAAATTACATCGATTTGGCAAAAGCACGATAGAAAAACAATGATTCCCTCTAGGACAAAAAGCTTTTAAAATACAAAGCATCGAAATCAATCTTGTTTTTATCAGGGAGCTGTCGACAGCGCGCGAAAAGCCAACAGCACCCGCACTTGGAAAGAGGTTTGCTTTGCTTGCGTCGACGCGCAAGAGTTCCGGCTCGCGCAGATGTGCGGCATGCACATCGTCGTCCACGCGGACGAGCTCCAAGACCTTATCGATTACTATCAGGATCGCGGCCACTTCGAGGAACTTATCGGCCTGCTGGAGGCTGCGCTCGGCCTCGAGAGGGCCCACATGGGTATGTTTACGGAACTCGCGATCCTCTATTCCAAATACAAACCGGCCAAGATGCGGGAACACTTGGAGTTGTTCTGGTCGCGCGTCAACATCCCTAAGGTTTTGAGGGCGGCCGAGCAAGCCCACCTGTGGGCGGAGCTAGTGTTCTTGTTCGACAAATACGAAGAGTACGACAACGCGGTGCTCGCCATGATGGCCCATCCGACGGAGGCGTGGCGCGAAGGTCACTTCAAGGACATCATCACCAAGGTCGCGAACATCGAGCTTTACTACAAAGCGATACAGTTCTATCTGGACTACAAACCGCTGCTGCTCAACGATCTTCTGTTGGTGCTCGCCCCCAGGATGGATCACACGAGGTAACTCGCGCGACAGTGGCCCAGGGAAGCCCTAGGTGTTTGACTAATTCGATTTTTTTGTAATGCCGATAAATATTACTTTAATAAAAACACATCAATAGAAAGAAGAAAATATTACGAACATCAAACTTTAATACAATATAATTATTATACAGGGTGTTCACAAAAGAACTCTATATTTATAAACAGTTTTTAATTCAATCATGAACACTGTTTAAAAAAGACTACACAAAATGTAGACACATTTTCAAATAATTAAAAAAATAATAATACAAGGTGTCCCAAAAGTAACAATTAAAAAAAAAGTTATTTAATTTAGATTAATACAAAATATTGTTATCGGATTTTTTAAAATATTTAAGTCTGTTTGCTTGAAAGAAACGAAATAAAACAATAACAGGGTTTTTATACATCTAAAGTATCGTTCAGTTAAACACTGTTACTGTTACAATTCTTGCATTAGTCATAGCTCTAAAAAAGTTGAACCATTGCTTTTCAATAAGAGCGTTCATTTAAGGTTTTGATTTATAGTTAGTCTTAATGTCAAAAGAGCATGCGACAACCCATAGTAAACAAAAGTTATGACAATACCTTTCACTATTGAAATGCCAAAAATAATGGCAATGTCTTACATAAATCAAACTTAAGTTACACTATCGGTCCATAAAAAAAAGAAAACAAATTTATATAATAATAGGTCAAAACTTATAACGAAAAAGATTTTTCTCCGTTTTTTTTTTGCCCACCCGGTCAGTTCTTTAAAATTTATTTTTATAAAATGGAGGAGGGGGAAGCAAGATTGTGTCTTACTCGTAACCACATGTTACTTTAATACATAGTATCAACAGCATCCCTAAATTATGCTAAAATTGTAACCTATTGCTTAATAAATCGCAAACATAATTTTTTGGGCTATTTTTTAATATGACTCAGAACAATATAGAATGTTTTAAGGATAATTGCCTTTTAGAGTAATTTACTTCGCATAAAATTTCTTTAAAAAATCCTCTCCACGTTTCCATGGTAACAAGTCGACTTTACTGGCTTGTTTTGTTTAATTAGTCAATGATAAGGAAAACGTGCATTGTACGAAATGTATTATGGGTTTATTTCAATAGTTTGGGTTCTCCCTGGCTCAGCGTGCGATTGAGGATCGCGCGGTTAGAGTTTTAATTTTTATTTGGCTTACAGAGCGGTGGCGTTCTTCACGAAGACCGGACACCTGCAGCTGGTCAAATCTTACCTCAGATCCGTTCAGAACCTCAACAACAAAGCGATCAACGAAGCCCTCAATTCGCTACTAATCGAGGAGGAGGACTTCCAGGTATGTCCCGATTCTCTCGAATCACCAATAAACCAAACCCAACCAACCAACCAAAATGTTTGAAGTACTTGGAGGACCTGAAAGTAGGTTTGAGGACAATGGTAAGAATGAATCGGTATCCAATATGTTATTTTGAAAGTTGTGTTGTGTTAAAATGTGAAAAAAAATGTTTTGCTATTTGTAGCTGAAGCTATGATTTTTGCGAAAAAAAAAATTTAATACAAGAGTTGTGCGCCTTGAAAATATTTACAAAATGAGCAGTAGTTTGAGTAAATTGGTTTATAAATAAAAAAGTTATCGCAAAAAAAGTCCAAATGGCTGTTTGTCAATCAATTCTTCTACCAACAAGAGTCATGTCTTTATCTGTCACCAATATGGGAATCAGTCATCTGAGATGGTGTTTATGCCCCTCATTTAGCTCCCCCCCCCCGGCCCCTCAAACAATATATAAGCAGGTACAGAGTAAAATGCGAGCCAATTTCAGTCAAGCTCTGAAGAAGGCAGCAGGATAATTGGCGAAACGTCAGCAAGTTTGACTCAGCAAAAACCGACGCAGGAGGAATCCAGAAGTTTTGGTAAAAAGCATTACAGTAGCCTGTAGAAGTTTCTTTGAAAAAAAAAAAATAGCCATTTTTGGCCCGGTTTCTGAAAATTGCCGGGGTAGGCAACGTGTTAAGCTAGAAATTAAGAAAACTGTTTTTCCGTACCTTATACTTTAACAATTTTTGAAAACGAAACATTGGATACCAATTCACTTCTGTCATTCTCCTCAAACCTACCAAAGACCAATATCAGTTGGCAGTTTGTATGAAAATCACCTTGATTGGACTCTGGCTTAGAAAGGCGTTGCGTTTCAGGGTCTGAGAACGTCGATCGACGCTTTCGACAATTTCGACAATATCGGCCTCGCCCAAAAACTGGAGAAACATGAACTGACCGAGTTCAGGCGGATAGCCGCGTACCTCTACAAGGGCAACAACCGGTGGAAGCAGAGCGTCGAGCTGTGCAAGAAGGACCGTCTGTTTAGGGACGCGATGGAGTACACGGCGGAGAGCAGGAACCAAGAACTCGCGGAGGAATTGCTCGCGTGGTTCCTGGAACGGGAGGCGTACGACTGTTTCGCCGCCTGCCTCTATCAGTGCTACGACCTGCTACGGCCCGACGTCATTTTGGAACTGTCGTGGCGGCACGGCATCATGGACTTTGCGATGCCGTACCTGATCCAGGTGACGCGCGAGCTGACGACGAAAGTGGATCGTTTGGAGCAGGCGGACGCGCAGAGGCAGACGGAAGCGGCCGAGCAGGACGCGAACAAACCGATGATGATCCCCGAGCCGCAGCTGATGCTGACCGCCGGTCCCGGCATGGGTGAGTCGTCGGGTTTTAGTGTTAGAGCGCGGTAGTTCAAATCACCTATAAAGTGGGAAGAAATATTAAGCTGCTTCGGAACTGGTTAAGAAAGTAAAAAAAAAAAAATTAAATCTAATACAAAGTAATAGAAATTTCTTATTTTAAGTTAGGATTATAAAAGTTGCTCTTTTTTTCAATATCTTATGTCATTATTTTTAAATTTGTTCAACAGACCATTTTCTACAGAATAAGTAATTAGAGTAAAATTATAAAGGATTCTGTATGGAAAAACTTTACAGATGTCTTCAAACATCATTTTCCACATAGTCCATAATGTCAGCGTAATTATAATTATTCGCGAAAAACCTTTTTGACAATAATGACTTGGACAAAATTCATCAACGTCGTTTACTAATATGTCAAGCATAAACATATTTTTATTTGTCAGTCACGGGACTCTTTAAATTATACAAAAATTTCCTAGTTTTGCCGACTTGTCAAAAACGAGTGGACTGAAATATAAAGTGTGTTACATCATTGTAATCGGAATAAGATATTCTATTAAACATATTATATACATACATATACATACATACATATTATATACAGGGTGTTCCATTTAAAAAATATGATGTAGGCCTGTGTCAGAAAATTGATAGTGTTTTGTTTTATACGTTACTTGGAAAAAACTTGGCTACTCACCCTGCATTTTGTTTTTTTGTTTACCTTGATATCCCTAAAAACAAAAAAGTTACAGCCAGTTAAAATGTTATCAAGATAAATTGAACGCACGGTACAAAATCCGTCGATGTTTAAGTATTTTGCAAACTGACTATATTACCGGAAATCATGCAAATTAATTGCGGTGTTTTAGGCAATTGACAAATTGTCTGATTCGTTTGTCAATCTGAGGATTAAATGTGTTTATTTTCCACGTGACTACACAATATGATGGTAAGACAAATCTAACAAATAATGTAAAACGGCCTTGACAAGAACGTAGCTAAACCTAACCTAACCTAAAATGCCGCTTTTTTAATTGGTAGTATTGAGAAGGCGCTAAGTGTTTGACTGGAACTGATTGTTGCCAAGTTCCACCTTCACCTGTCTCTTATCATTCTATCAAGTCCATTCATTAACAGAATAACATAAATTAACCAATTGGTTAATTTATGTTATTGTTATTGTTATGTATTGTATGTTATAGTAATTACTTTTGTATAGAAATAAGCAAGTATGTTGTTAGTTTTGATTAGTTTCTGTTAATCTTTTGTTGAACTGAGTTAATCAAAGACAAAGAGGGATAGAAGACAGGTTAAGCTACAACTTGGCAACAACAGATTGCAGTGAAACATTTAACGTTTCCTAGGGTTTGTTTCCTTTCCTTCCTCAAATAATATAAACGCTTATTACTGCATAAGGTACTTATAGGTATGTAACTTCTCCCTGCACATACTGTTTAGTCAATGTGAAAAATAAACCTTTACTTTTTGTTGATTGTCAAAAACAGCGTAGTTTGAGGCCCCTTTTCAAAAAAAGTGGGTGGGTGGGCAGGAATCCACAGATTTTTTGTTTATTGTATGTATGTGCATATATAGACAGTAATAGTAATAGTAATAGTAGTGATAGTGCATATAGCCTAGCTTCTTTACAATACAGTGTTGTTTAGTTTTGACATGAATATTTCAGTTGGCAAGGTATTGATCCCTGGTCATCCTTTTAGTTTTTGAAAAGTCCAATTTTCTCCGAATTCACCCCTAAGTTATGCTTTTCATACCATTCACTCGCCTCGCTAACAGCCCTGAGAGCAAGTAGTTCAAATAACACGCGAATATTCGACTACAACTAAATCCTTTCTTCAAGAAACAATAAACGGTTCAAGCATTGTTTCTTGTGAGCACCTAAGTTGTAATATTTCTACTCGTTGATTTCTTGTCTCGGGTTGTTTTTTGAGTTCTTAAAAAGAATAGCCACCAGATCTCGTTATCATTTCAGGTATGCCACCGCAACAGCCTTACGTACCTCCGCAGGCCTACGGTCAGCCAGCGTACGCCCCCCAGATGCCCTACCAGGGCGGATATCCTGGATCCATGTAGGGATCGGTCCCCGTATTTGGGGCGCCACCTAGTAGTACATTTTTCTAGGGGTTCCAGATCGAGGCATAACCGAGCCTAAATTTCGTTGCTTTTCATATTAAGGTAAATGTGAGCGTTTGGAAAGATTATATTGTTGCACGTTCGTTAGAGATTTTAGAAAATTTGAAAGGTTTTCTTCGAATGGCGCAGGATTTGGTTTGACATTTACCTTTGTATTACTGTCCTTAATAATTGTTCTCGCTGACGTCCCGGACTTGTAATTATGAAGTATATCGATCCGAAATACACTATGTTAGTAATGTAATAACAACTGTTGTAATTTGGTGAGTATTTAGAGGCTGATGGATCGGAAACGAATATGGCGAAACATTATGACATTCGATCTAGTCAAGGTTTTTAAATTTTTAGTGGTCGGTATTGCTCCCTAATTTAAAAAAAAATCTCTGATGTTTACAAAGTGATTCATCCGACGATCCATCGCTTTTGAAGGTTCACCCTGTATAGGTTTTCGTTTCAGATTAATCGCTTTAAAAGAGTTGTAAATATTTATTGCCTCCCGATTTGACCAATCGAAATTAACGTTCATCCCAAAGGAGTCTGATTTGTTATTACCCTTTGGGATTAACGTTACGTAGGATGTCCAATTCAAATGTATATAAGGACATAACATTATTTTTGTTATCTGCAGTGTATTCATTTAATTTTTAAAACCATTCCCCGATTATTAAGCAACATTTCTTAATCTTAGTCGTACCTATGTATAATAGGCTGTTTATTAACTTATATTTCCTTCTGAACTTTCAAGCAAACTGACGATGACTTTGTGTTTGCCTGAAAATTGTTTTATCCATTGTTTTGATTTTTCTATGTTATTCAGGTGTCATTTATAGTTATTTTCGTATGAATAAAAACGAGCTGATAGATACTTTTTGTTTAATTTAAATCCATTGCGCCTGTCAATCAAATTCTGGTTAAAAGCCGATTTAGAAAGTATGTAGCCAATTCTAATATTCTAATTTTGGCTAAGTACCAGTCTCGTCCAATTGGCTTGCCATTCTAATAGTTATTGGTGATATGAAGAGCATAATATCAACTTAAATAAAAAACAGGAAATAATTTAGTCCATTTATTAAAAAAGAAGAAAAAAACAAAATTAGTACTTATGTATATAAAATTCACTATATACATCTAGTCAAACAGAGCAAAGCCCATGTCGTCATCTTCAGACTCTGACTCCTCTTTCTTCTCTTCTTTTTTGGCTTCTGCAAATCAAATAAATAAAACATTTAAAACATTACACCTAGCCCCCCCCCCCCAAAAATTTACAAAATTAGTAAAAACCAATCAGTTTAAAAATATATCATCAATAGTCTTTCAGTCGAAAGATGGTGAGTAATTTAATCATCATGTGATATTAAAATCTGAATTTTGTCACACAAAACGCACACACGGATTTTATTAAATTAACTGTACCTTTCTTTTCTTCTGCAGCGGGCGCCGCGGCAGACGCAGCAGCAGGGGCAGCAGCTGCTCCGCCTCCAACGGGCATCGAGCTCAATTTCTCGCGGCCTAAATATTAATAATAATTAACATACAATTAAATTCGTGAAAACGCATTACCTTGGGCGATAACTTCCTCGATGGACTTGCCCTTAAGGGAGGATATTACCTTTTGAACTTTGTCATTTTCGGTTTCGATCCCTACAGAGCCGAGGATCTTCTCGATATCCGCGCTGCTCGGGTCTGTTTTACCGCCCAAAACGGCCAATAAGTAAGCAGCCACGTAACGCATCTACAACACGAGAAATAAACCCAATGTTTTCAACCGCCTAACCTTAAAAAATTGTATCTCGAAATATCTGGGCAATCGTTTTAGTTTAAAATCAGTCGTTAAATCGCTTGCGATTCCGCGGGCCAATTCGCCACATAAAAGTTAATATTTTTATAATTGAGAACGTTTTACTTACTTTTTAAGTCGTTTGACACGAAACGTTTATGCCCACTCAACAAATCAACTTACAAGAGATCATAGATCGGTCGAAAAGGATAAAGGACGCCAGCGATGAACGATGTGGTAATGTACACCTAGGCCATTGAGCCAATATTTTCTTCACACATGACGTCATGATATTGAAAATACTAACTCGCCTTTAAAATATCGTTGTTTTAGGTTCGATTCACATTAAAAACAATAAAACACGATTCCTTTTCAAAAATTAAAAAGTTTATAATCAAGATACATAATATAAAATAAGATGGATCGGTTATAATGCAACAATCTTAATAGGACAGGGTTATTACCATTGATAAAAAATATTTATTAAGTCCGGATTAAGATAAAGGGTGGGCGAGCAGTGCAGCGACGCGTACCGGCAGATTATGAAAACGTTGCGGAACCAAATTCCAAGAAATGGTAACTATATATCAAGTGGCAACAAAAACCTCCGGCGATCTCGTACATTTGAACTCTGGGGCGCCTCGCGACTAGCAGGCGAGGGTTCCCATGGGATCCCAAGCGGGCAACACGATCGGTTCCTGCTTGAACACGTCAAGCACCTCCTGCGGAACGAAGCGTTTGTCCACGACCACCTCGAAGGTGAACTCATTGAACCAGTCTGCTGTCATCAGAAGGTAGCCTTTCTCACCGCGGTCGTCGCCCCACGAATTTTCCACCCGCAGTTTTGTCACCTGCCCGGTTTCCTGAAATTCAACCAGATATACGCAGGGAACTACGCCAATGACATTTAACCATAGGAGAGGCCTGCTTATGCAAATTTTTGTTCAGTGTTCAAAAGGGTAGCAGAATAGTGTAGAAAAGATTGGACCCCATCAATATATGTAGTATGTGCCTCTTGCCTACGCAAAATTATCCGAAACTGCCCTACCAAAAACGTTTCCAAATTTAGCAAAATACTTATCAGCGAATTGTTCAAAAATAAGAATCCATCATTAAGAAAACAACGTTTTCGAAGAATTTTTATTACAAGACCTTGTTTTCAGTTTTGGAGATATTTTCTCTACTCGCGTCTGTAAAATATCTAATTACACACCGATTTAGCGTGCGGGAAGCATCTCTTTACCAGTCAGTTTCATTTCCGGGATTTTACCGAGGGAAAACCACAAATGCTGTAATGTGCATTTGTCCAAATTATTTTACTTTGGTTAATTATCTATATAGGCGGTTTCCACTATACGTGTACTTATAAAAAAATAAAATTAACAGTTTACAAAATAATTTACGCTACTATTTAAGCTAAAAAAAATTACAACTTCTATTGGACATACTATAATGACGGTGTAGGTAGGTATTTCATTGGCACCTAAGCTTGTTCATTTTTTGCATAATCCAAAGTGTTTTAATTGACCACCATGTGCTCAAAATAGTCGCAGCTGAAATATTGAATAAAGATGTTGATAAATCATATTGCTTATTCAATAACTTTAAAAATCATCAATCATTTTAGTTATGAGAACAATTGGGCACACGTTTTAATTTACCTTTCGTGATTCGTGATAATCGACGTACGCAATTTTCCGAGTGAAACGTACCTAAATACAATTTTACTATGACCGCAATGATTTATTTGAAATAAGTGAGAACCTTTAAACGTATTTATGATCGGTTTGATTAATTAACATGCAACTGAATCTTTTAAGCTGAGCCACTGTAAATATTAACAGATGCATTTTAAAATCATTGTAATGTAAAGAAATCATAATTATTCACTATCGAGGAAAATTTTTTCTCCACGGAAACGCTTTGCCGGCCTTCCCCCGCGCTACCCCGAACGTCATGACACGATTTGGGACAAATGAACGTTGGATCTCTTTTACCGCACGGATTTGGGAGCAAATGAAAAAACCCTTTCAAAGAATTGAAAAATTTCAAACTGAGACCTAAAACTAGAGCGTTGGTCGCAGCAAGACAACTTAAATTTCCCATTAAACAATAAATGAACAGGTTCAGTACTCAATTGCTGAAAGTGTACACCTCTAAGTTCCTAAAATTACTTTTTTAGATTCAAACTAAACCCTAAAAATTTTAAGAATTCCTTGAACCTTTACAAAAAAAATGTCTGACGTGACAAAGTGATGTCATATTGATATCCAACAAAGATATCAATGACAGATATCAACAAGCAACATGCGATAAGGAGAAGATCGAGTTAGACAATGAGTTTCTATCAAAAAGCTCATCATTTTACTTAACTCTACTATGCATATTGGATAAATTAATCTTTATACAAACAACCAGAGTGCCGATGAAAGAGAGAGAGAGAGAGAGAGAGACATATCTTTCCTATAAGGAAAGATCGAGGGCGGGAGCAGATTTCTTGGCTGTGTAATGGAAAACATTGGACTTGTGTCAATTTGTTACTTACCAGTTTTTACTGAAGTTTCAGCTTTAATTGTTAGAGACTATTTAACGAACTTCATAATTACAGTAGTCTGATTTGTAACTATCCAAACTGGAAAAAAAACGAGTTATGATTATTTTATTGAAAACGAAAATACAACCTCTAATCTAAAAAAAAATTCCAAGTTTCCATCTAACTCTCAACTCGTTTTATTTTCAATTTTAATATTTGCAAAGTCATAATAGAAGAGCATACCATTGATATAAGACCACGAAATAGTTAAAAATCACACCAGAACCACGGTATAAACTGACTGGCAAATTGGTTGGTTGGGATCACTTCGCCAGCTTGGGTCACCCTAATATAGCGTATTGTTATATTATTTTTTGTTCGCTTATGCCGAGCACAGTGAGATGCTCCCAAGGTAACTAATTTGATGAGTTCTAAAGGTGGGATCTCTCCTATATGGTTTAACGTCTTCGAGCTAGGCTTACGTCTTTGTGCACCGCCGTGAAGACCATCGCGTGGGACATTGCGCTCTCGCCATAGAGCAGCCGATCCGCTTTGCTAAGTGTGGTTTGGATGTCCACCCCGAAAATCAACGGAAAGTCGTGGCTGAAATTATCGCCATCGTCATACATAACCAGGGCCAATTTTTTTTTCAATAACTCACATTTTCAGGTCCTGTATGCCCAATTTCCCGGCGAATCTCTTGCTCACCTCGCACCCGAACCACACCGCCTCCCCCTCCTCGATACTCTTCGCCGCCAACTCCAAAAGCGTCCCCACCGGCTGGTTGTTGTATATGCACCTACGACCCCCCACCACGTTGCCTAGACAGTCGACGGTGTAAGCCCTCTCGTACTGACTGGTAGGTCTCGGGTCAGTTACGAGACAGACCTACGAGCGGACCAAAAACATTTGTGACAGAATATTAATAATTATAATAGTCTATAAACTAACCAAAATATGTGGTGAGGCGGAGTTTAATAGAGCGAGGTGTTGAAGGAAGACTAAGGGCGTTAGGCAGGGAAACGTTTTCAGTCTGTTACTATTTAACTTAGTTTTGGTTAGTGGACGATGTAATAAAAAAAAAACAAGAACCAGTACATTCGGTTTCCTAGTCAGAACATAACGAATTTACTAAGAGAAAGAGGACTGGGGATAATGGAAGCAGCTAAAATGACACTAGATAAGAAAGGATGGAGGAAATTCATATACGAGTTGTAAACATCATTCAACCTTACACCTTAGGGTAGATAGGTTTAGGTTAGTCGTTTATTGGCGACAAACACATACTGCGTTTACACAAGTCAAGTCCCGAGATTAAGCAACGTTCACCGAATTAAAAAAAAAATTAGAAAGGGCAGACATAAATAGTAATTAAAAACTTGACATAACAAGTAATCACTAAAACTGCAGAATAAAATTTTAATGTTTGATCAACTGAGTGTGTAGGTAAAGTGATTAGAACGCTTCTGTTACTAGATAACCTTTTACCTTATTTGTAAATTAAAAGCTGTTAAGGTACTTTATAAAACAGTTTTGCTGCCTGCTACCCTAAGGTATTGTGACATCTACACAGTCGATGGAAATTAGGTTTTAAGTTATTTTTATTTATATATATCGCAACTGATGGAAAATGAAAACAATAACATCACAATCCATACCAAAAAATATGAAAAATTTGTAGGTTATTGCAAGCTTTGTATTTGAACTATAATGGAGGCCTGCGAGAACATAATTGTGTAATGTACCATTTCTGGTTGTCCTGATATATTCAACAAGAAACAGGTCTCCAACAAATTCAGATAACAAGAGTGAGGAACGAACATATAGTGTTAATATAGTCTAGAAAAAATTGAGGAGACCAACTTCTAAGTCGGTACATAATAGTAATTACATTTAAATTAAAAGAGTGAAACATATGTACCTGGAAAATTGAAAATAAAAAAAAATCATCGAGCACGTCTCAAATTCATCAAAATACCTTCCCGGTCCGTTAACAGGAAATTTTTGTTGAATTTTTATTCCAGGATTAGGTCCTCAGAAGGTTTACTTCTCAGAAGGTTTACTTACTTTTGAATCGAATTAAATAAATTTAAGTTTATATGTACCAATTTATTTCGTCAGTACCTTAAAAAAAAACGTGTTTATAGCATGTGTATATTTTGCACGGTGGTATGTGAATAAAATAAGATCAATTTATTTTTCCCGCCAATTTAGTTTCCTCCAGATATATGGACGCTAAAAAGGGCTTGTTAACACACGTTTCGAAAAATCGTGTTAGGCACGCCGGATCAGCATAAATTTGGTGTAGAAAAGACAAGAGAACGTCCAATTTCATCAATAGCAATTTGTACTGAAAATATTCGTGCACTCACAGTAAACTATCTGCCAGGATCACAGTTTTACGTTTTCACTAGAACACTAACAAAACGCCACTGACTTTTTGATGAATAACTCATGAAATACCTTCACGGAACTACATTTACCATTTTTAATTTGTCAGGGATAACAGCTTAAGCTTAAAAAGCTATTTATTATCATTTGTTTTATTTGATTTATTTTTTTATTGCCTTCACATTTTAGAGAACAAATCTAAATTTATAGACTGTGGCAATTTTTTGCGAATCATCTAAATATCAACCTACCTTGTCGTCAACATTAAACAGAGGTTTGATATGAACATCGTAGAACTCCTTGGGAGTAATGGGGCCGATACTGTGAAACGCTTTGCTCTTGTCGTAATAGCTCCAAGTGAACGTATCGCTCGGGATACCTAAACAGATGCCGACAATTCGGTAGACGTTGGCCATTTGCTCTTGGATCAGACTTTGGAGGTCTGCATCACTGGCGCCCTTCTCGATAAGGTCCCTAATATGTTTAGCGTATTCCCTCAACTGCATGAAAAAAAAATCTCGTTGCTAACAATGCTGTTTCTCAATACGAAAGAGTTATGAAAATCATTATGGAACCGTAAAACTTAGCTGTACTCCATAACGGTTGTATTGTGACGATTGTCAAGGTTCTCCTGAGTGATAGACAGTTAACATATCTGTTCCTTAGGGTTAAAGAATTAAAGAAGAAAAATAAAAGTGGCTTTCCGGTAGATGTTTTCGAATTTATTCGAAAAAAATGACACCACTCATTAGCTTACTTTAAATAAGCAATTTTTGAAATAGAAGCTACTACTACGTATTGCAAGAGGGAATAAAGACAGAGGTTTGTCAAAAATTGGGCGAGTGCGTCAAACACGTAACTAAAATAGAGCAAATAATATGGGATGCTGATAACATGCTAGAAAACAGAAAACACTGTATGTATTATAGTTCAACTGACTACTCGAAACATGATGATTAAAATTTATTTATTTTATATTATATTTACTGGATCTTAGAACAATTAATATCTCAATTATCTGCTCATCTTTATAATTATAATGGTTAATAATTATTATTATATTTATTATTCTAATAAACTACCTATAGCAAGTGTCTGACCTGGATTTAGGAATGATTCCAGTTGTATAGTTCTTAAAACTGCAATACAGAATTTACCGGAAGGAACCATTCAAATTAATTTGAATGTTAAGATTTAACCTTTCAGTTGTCTACCCTATTTAATGAATTTTGTTACTCTCTCGAATTAAGAAACGAAATGTAAATTATGGCTCTACTGCACACTGCGGTTACATCTTTTCCGGTAAATCACAGTAAAGAACAGCTTATCTGTTTAGACGTTTGACATTTGATATGTATTTACTGTTATGACGTCACTAAAGATAGAATGTCATCTTTTATATAGACATTGTAATTAACAAATATCTTTAGATGTAATAAGCAGTAACACTTTAGGATAGTAAAAATAAAGTATATTTTTTATCATCAAAGTCTGATATTTGAGGACAAAAATGTTTAAGCCAAAAGAAAATACCAGTAGCATTATAAACCATGATTGCACAGTGATTGCGTTCTGGGAATATCTAACATTATCGTAGATATATTTTTCTTGTGATAAATATTATTTCAAGGCAAACTTATTTGAATGGAATTTGTTGGGTGTGTAAATTTAAGGCGCGTAAGGAAAAACAATTTTCTTGGAAAACCTTACACAATAATCTTTGGTTTTGTCCCTCATTAACATAAAAGCAACTGAGAATCTCGAAAGTTGGCTACATTGTTAGTTATTGTTTTTAATTGACAATCTCCATACCTTACTCTTCAATGTTTGATTCATCCTAAGACTGGCTTCAGAATTGTGAGATTCTGGAAAATTCTTTTTTGGCATCAAACCATGTTTGTTAACTAAATTAACCAACATGTCCCATTGACCTCCATCAGTGGTTGGATCCTACAATAAAAATGGGTTGAAAATATCTGGGTAACCAGAACTACTCAGGACTTACATTTAGTAAAAATGAAACAAGACGTCCATCTACTGGTTCATTGCGCCTAGCGGTTTCAACAATATTATTAAGAAAGTAATTGCAACGCTCTATTTTGTCCCAAAAAAATAAGTAGCCCTGTGAAAATTCAAAATCCTCCAGGTTAAAATGTTTAATCACTGGCAAACGGATGACGTTAAGTGCAGCAAACACCCAACAACGACCTGAACTCTTCTGGTTTGTAACTGGTTTACCCTCAGATTCTATCTAAATACATAGAGGGCAATGTTACTTCTGTAAAAGAACGTTGCACTAAACTTACTTTAATATTGAATACATGCTGCGTTTCTTCGATTCGTTTCCTAGACAGGCAAGCCTCAAAGGGGTCCACTCGAGAACAAACATTTTGGGCTAATATATTTTTGTTGTCCGCCACAAACGCTTTTTTGAAGTTCTCCAAGACTTCTTTGGTTAGAATGCCTTTAAAAAAGGATCGACATTTATCGGCGCTCCGAGATGTAAACATATCGCTCTGATGCATTGGAAAATTAATTTGACGTTTTACTTTAATGAAACAATTTGCAAACAAATACTGTTATATTAATAAATACTATCATTATTATGTACAACGCACAAGCGTACCTGAATCAGAACCCATATTTTACAGCAACTTTCCTTAATTGTAAACGAAATCTTACTTTCTTTCTTGGAGACTTATGCCAATGAAATGCAAAAATTTTAGATTTATAACTTACCGTTCTCCGTTTAACTGTGATCATAGTATGGTTTTGGTAGGTTACCATTTATGGTTTGCGTAATGCGCATTGCGTTTTGGAAGTAAGCGCCCGTTTCCTATCCTTTAATTCAACACGTTATTTTTTTAACTTACATTCGTTGACACATCTACATTATCGTAAATCACATTCCCTAATTTCAATTGGTTTTAAGACAATTACCGGGACAGCGCGAACGCAGCCCCGACTACCAAAAATTACGCGTCCGATTACCAACATTAGTGATAATCACAGAGGTCAGTCCAACCTCAGTGCAATGGAAGGACCTCGCTCTGAGGGAACCGCCTTGATGATCACGGTAACCCCCACGCCAAGTAAGTATGAAATTTTGCGCTAGACGTCTCTTCTTATAGAAAACGCGTTGTCGCGTGGAAGAAAGCAAGAGCACCTGCCGCCATCTATCCGCTGTAAATGTTAACATCACTTTATATTATCGGGATCACCAAATCCATGGGGGTCGTATTCTAGTGGCAATTTTTGCTTTCTCGATGGTACGTCGTATTTCGTTTTGGTTAAGAAATAAGCAGTCCCAACCAGCAAGCAATGTTGACGCAATCAAAATTAAATTAAATTGTTTTACACCGGGACAGCGCGTACGCAGTCCCGACTACCAAAAATTACGCGCCCGAGTTATCCGCATTAGGGATAATCGCGGGGGTCAGCCCGACCTTGGTGCAATGGAAGGGCCTCGCCCTGGGGGAACCGCCTTATTGATCACGGTAACCCCTGCGCCAGGTAAGTATGCTTGTTCTTATTTTCTAAGTCCTTTTATCCCACAGCAAGCGTTCCGAAGCGGTGGGATGTTAAGATATAAAAGCATAGATAACAAATGGTTAGATTAAAGGAATGTCTACCAAAGGACTACCAAGGATAAACCGAATCAAGCGCCATCTCTTGGGGAGTAGTCGTTTTCCAGCGACGGTAAGCTAGCAAACGATAAGTACATAGACGATCTATTTCCGGTAACGGATGAGGTCCACTTCAAACAAGTTTCATGCTTTGTTTGCATAAGAGGATCAATGGGTTTAGCCTTTAGAGACTGTTGTATTCGCCCAATCTTTTGATTGAAGAGGTCGTAATAAACCAAACATCCGGTTTTAGCATTTGCGCTCGGTCGGAATTTGGCAGGGTATAGAAAAAGAGGTAAGATAGAGGAGGGGTTTGTGGTTGGTCTAGCACAAATAAAAACTCATTTATTGTAGTGATTTATTAGATGCAACTGTTTTTCGAGTCGCACTGTAAAGCGAAAACGCCATATTTTATTCCATTTATTTAATACATAAAACACAAACTCAAATAAATTATAAAAAATATCGATCATGATACATTGAATTTCAAAATTTAATACTCCAGAACATTTGACCTGTATATTTTCCATATCTTTTTTTGTATCCAAATGTTGGGACAATTTCTTGTTGTCGGCGTGACTTATTGCTTCTCGAAACTAATTCGCCGCTAGAGGGCGCTTCTGTTGCAGCCTTAAAACGTACTTAACATGCACACACAGCGAACCAATCTGTTCATTTATAATTACGTACGTAAATGTTATCCTGCTTAATAATTATAAATATTCAAAAAAGTTTCCGATCAAATATATCAACAAATTAATAAAAAGAATGAAAACACAATACGCGAGTGAGGGGAAATCCTGAGCACCCGGGACTTTTGAGCGAGGGCCAAGGGGGCCACGCTTCATTGTAAAGATAATATTAACCTTAAAGATAAGTTCAAATCGTTACCCATCGTTAAGTAGAAAACGATCAATATGGGTAACTTATTAAATCTAATTTCACTCACTTGTGGAGATGATTCAGTGGCGTGCGCCGAGAAACCTGAGCCAAAAACAATTTAATACGTATACTTGCAAAAAGTAATTATTAAATATTTTTAAAGGTGTGACCGTATCGAAAATGTAAATGGTGTTCCATGGAGAACTGCAACGATCTGTTATGTTATATCACTGTACTAAATACTAGATAAAGTCCGTTTCAGGAAGATTGGTGCTCGCATATATATAATAATCATAAAATAAAATCTGTCGTAACAAAAAAAAATTGAATAATTTGTTCTCCCTTCTTGCGTCTTACGTTGCGGTATAAATCCACCTTTATCAAACTCGTTCAGTGGCGGATGGAGAGAGAACGGGGACCGGAATTTCTTTTATTTTCTTTGAGGTTTCCGGTAATAACTAGAAAACTGAAACTTTTAATGTAGAATGGGGTGTTTGTTTCCCCTCTTCCTTCCACGGGAGGACAATTTTTTCTCAAGGCTGTCGCACAACCTGCGCCACGCGCGCCCAAAAAAACCCCGCACCTTGGCCTTGATGTTGCGCAACCCCTAAATAACTATGCACTTGTTTCTGTCCAGCGCTTCCTGTATATTGTCGAGCATGGGACTCTGGTCCCTGCTGGATAGATTGTCGACCATGTTAATCAACTCCTTGAACACCTGGACCACTTTCCAGTTGTATTTGGCGCTGCACTCGATGTACCCGGATTTCCAGTGTTTCTTCACTAGATTCACGATGTCTCTTCGTTTTTCTTCGACCGTGCTTGCGATGGCCGATGGCTTCACGTTCGACGTGCCGTCTTCGGGCACGATTAGATCCTGCTTGTTGCCAACGACCAGAACCGGCACGTTTTGCATGTTCCTGCTCTCGCAGATTTGCTCCCGCAGTGTCTTCACGTACTGAAACGTATCTATGTTGCTGAGGTCGAAGATCAGGATGTACGCGGTAGCGCTGCGCAGACCATAGAATCTGGAACGGTAGAACATGGATAGGGTAGGTAAACCTCATGTCAAGAGTTACACTTACTACGCGATTAATAAATAAATAAATGAAATATACCTATAGTTGGCCCACTCGTAGTAACTGTTAACTGGAAAATAGGGGATGACAGGCAGGTCTGTGATTTTGATCTCATACAGCCGCTCGTTGGTGATCACCGATGGGTAGTAGGTATGTTTCCTGTCGGTGGGGATGTACTCGTCGTAAAACTCGTTCCATACAAATTGCTGCAACACGTCAAAATGAGTACACCAAGATACGTAAATATGGGCAAAAATAATATCCACAGAGTTATTTTCACATTTTAGATATCCATTCAGACATTTTACTATATTATAGGTGATAAGATCAGACTGTGGATGAAAAATAAGTCAATCTCACTTCTGAAATTTTAGTCGCGGTGTCCAGAAACGGATTTAAATTGTGTCTGAATTGTGAAGGAAATCAAAAAGTTCAAAATAATCAAGAAAAAATATACAGGGCATATCATTTAAAGTTTTCTTCGGTCTTCAAAAGTGACATCTGTGCAAAAAATCGCTCGGAGCTGCATAGAAGAAACAGAACCTGTTCGAAATGTCGCAGAACAACAAGCCAGAAGGTTAATTCCCAGTTTTGGGGGGACATTTTGCCTATCATAATAAACATCACAATTCATTTTAAGCTTAGATCAAGATCAGTGACCGTTCGCATGTTAAGTAGAAAAATATATTGTTTTTAAATTTTACAGTTATGCAGTGTATTAAGATAAACGTAATACTTTAAAATTTTAATTGACCATAATTTACAACGAAAAAATTTAATACAGCTCTGCGTTCTGTGTGTACTAAATGGAATAGCGATTTGTGAGACGTTACAGATTTTTGGGAGAGTTAGCTTTCTGGTTGGCTGTTTTCTGAAAATATTGTGTCAAAAGTGTGACAACGTAAAACGACCCTTGATGATTACAATTACAATTACTACTCCTCTTCGGAATCGGATGGTTTACTTTTTGTCAATGATGAACTAACGTCCTTAAGCAGATACAAAGCTTCAGAAAAAAATGTGTTTATTTTTTTTGGCTAAACTTCTTAATCCAGATATAAGTGGATCAGATTAGGAATCTCTTTAAGAGATTTTGGTTGAATTAAGACTTTATGCACGCTGCTCGGCATATAGTGACAAATTAAAAATTACAAATTAGCAGTTTCTTCCATACATTCCTCAAATTTACCTGATGACATGACTTCGTCTAATTCTGATATCTTGGAGATGGCTAATGGATTAGCAAAAAATCTTCTACTGGTATTGCCATCATTACTTGTTACTTTTGAAAATCGATGAAATCGGATTTTCCGTGTTTAATGAGAAATGTGTTAAGTGTTCTAAATTTGCAGATATCAAATCAAATTCAAATTTAGCAGAGAAACAAAAGTCCGTGTCCACATTTAAACGGCAGAAGCAGATAGTGGAAGTTCTTCAGACGGGAACATTTGATAAAAAGTATATTGTAGACTAGTTGGTTATGGAGCGGGGATTCAGTTTTCCGTTTTCCACCATATCATTGCACTTTCAATCCGATAGAACAACACCACGCCGAAATTTAGTTCTGGGGCAATAGAAGTAATTGGAAATCAAGTATAAAAAACATCTGCTTTAAGTTGGAAAAAATGTGTGGAACATGCCATCGAAGAAGAGAATGTTTACAGAAGTAGACTAGTCCCAGAATTAATTAAAAATGTGGGGGAGTGGTTCCAGTGACGATAGTGATTATTTTGATGTAGGATAACTTTTTTTTTATAAATATTCTAACGTTCTTTTATAGCTAAATTTAAAATTTAAAATTAAGAATGGATCTTTCACCGCATGGACTAATAATAATTGAGGAATCTCACCGATGAAACTCCACACAAATCCGCCAGCTTTCATTATTTGTATCGAAGTACGGCGAGGTAGGCCTGCGGTTAGACCTTCATAACAATGTATCAGAGTTAAATACCGGATTACGTCGTAAAGACTATACGTTGAGGACAAATATCCTTCTGAGGAGCTACCGTAATTGTTAATTTAATTTCGGCTATTCCATACTTACGTAAAGTCTGTTCATAGATATAAGAAGTGACTAACTGATACGAATTAAAGACCCGGGCAAGCTGTAAGAATGAAATATGGCCGAACAGGTTCGTACTTTGCTTAGAATTTAATTATTTGGGGTTTTGTTAGGAAAGATACTAAACAATATTTATTTATGTATGTATTTATGTTTAAATCTAAAATAAAATTACAAATTATTTTCATTACCTACTTAAATTACTTAAAATTATTCACATAATATATCAGTATCACTCTCGCTATCTTCGCCAGTTCTAATTATTATTTGTTCTATATTATTTGCATACGATTGTTCTGCTTTTTCTACATGTTTAACATAATTTATCCAACTTTGTGGAGGGATGTTAAAAACTTCGGTTTCTATAAGTTTGAGGTCATTGGAGTTGACACGGGGAAAAACATTTTTACGACGAATGCCAGATTTCAGTTGGTGCCAAACATGTTCAATGGGATTAAATATACAGTGGTAAGGTGGAAGCCTTAAAACTGTATGCCCTAAATTTTTTGCATAAATATCACAGCCGTATTCCTTTTTTAGGTTCTAGCTTTGTAGAACCTCAATTAATTGCTTTTTGGTATAATCTTTGTGAAAATAAATGTCGTTATTATACATGTAGTTTTGGATTGTTGCTTGAGGAAGGGGTTTTAGTCAACTGTCTACTGCGATAACTTGCCATGTCCATTACAATGACGCTATTAGGAGGAATGTTCGGGACTAGTTTGTTTTTAAACCAACTTTCAAATAAATCAGCGGTGGTATCTTCATAGTAATCCAGAGCAGAGTCTTTAATATTTTTCGCAGGCAGAGAAAGAGAAAGTCCATTTAGAATCCATCCATCTTTAGAGCCAGCATGCAAAATAGATATTTTCAGTTGAGTCAACCCAACCCTTTTCCGGGGTATCATAAGTGTCGAACCAGGTTTCATCCAAGTAAATAATTGGTCTTTGTTGTTCTCTGCAAATCCTAATTTTTGTCAATTTTTTTAAATCTAAAACCCATGTGTTGAATACACTTGCATAACGTAGTTCTGCCACATTCAACATCTTTCTCAAGCCTCCTAATTAAGATATCCAATGTAGGTACGCTTTGTTCCCCGTATAACTGCTAAATTTTACGCCGTATTATATCTTCATCACTTTCATCTACATTCGAGAAAATGTCAGCATCGCTTCCTTTTTCCCTCGCTGAAATGGGATTATTCACAATTTTCCATACAGTTGATTTTGGAATTTTCGTTAATGTGGCCGTTTCTTCTAAAGATGCTTGCTTGCTGGCACCACGTTCAATGAGAGTAAAATAAACATTGTTTATAACTTCCTTAGTCTCAACAGAATAGTGTTTTCTATATTTGGGCTGGAGCATCTCCTAAGATACACTAGACTCGCACATATTTTGCATAATTGGCACACGATTCAGCACACGCTGTATTACACACGAAATAAGAATGATTACTAATAAACTTAAACTAAGTAGTATACCAAACCAAAGAATATTAAACACAGGTATTTTCTATTACAATTTTACCTGAATTTAAATTCCGAAATTTTAGATAATAATCTTGTTGCATTGTATGTTAATGACCACCCTTGGATAATCCCATTTAAAAGCATTTGGTCTCTTTCTTATATCTATGAACAGACCATAACTTCATGGTAATTTCAATTTGGGGTGGGTTCGCCATTCATCTTGACATTAGTAATTATTCATTTCATGACCATTTGACGTGTCTCGGCTTACACAGTCAGCCAAAGCCCACAGTAAGCAAGTAAGTAATACCTAAAAACACATAATATAATAATTCGACAATTGCCGTCGAAAGTCAAGACGACATACTTTGAGACAAACCATACAGTAAACACAAAAGGCGTATCAAGGGCGTTCCGGAAGGTCCGCTCTTTGAATATTGACGAAATTCATGGTTTACGCTCGAGGTTAACCAAAAATCGTCCCCTGCTAACCCTTTCGCGACCATTGGGGAGGGTTCCGTTTTCAAGTTAGGGTCGCTTCTCTCCCCGGGTGGGGCGAAACGTGCTCCGACAAATACCTGTGGCCCAACCGATAATAATTAACACGTCGAGGTTATGTTCAGCTCCGTTTAGAAAACCTCGCGGCGAAGCGTGGAGATAATCGGTTTGCATTATGCATGAAACCATTGCGCGAAGTTTAACGTGGAAGCGCCACCTTGCCGCGTTGTTATCGTTTTTTTTTGGGAGGGGGGGGGGGTGAAACGGGAGTTTTTAGGGAATTTTACTCATAAACGAGGCCGAATAAAATTTTCGATCCTATATTTCGTCACTCCGCACGGCGTAGAGCGTTAAAAGTTTTAATTGTGCCCGCCAATAAAATCGCGTGTTTTTTTTTTGCTGGTTTTCCGTTCTCCGTTCTCTGTTCCTGGACTTTTTCGGCGATAACTTCCAAACGGTTTGAGCTAGACGGCTCAAATTTTGCTCTTTTTTAACAGCCCACGGGCTGCACGAAATGAGTAAATATGGTCGCGGTCGAACGTCAGCGACTATTTTTTTTTTCGATTTTTGAACATCGCTTTGAAATACAAGTGCTCAATTAAAAATCGCGTTTGCGGGGTCCAAGAAAAATATCAATTCTCGAAAACCGAGAAGATCCTCGAGATCAAAGTCTTCATTCTTCAGAATTTTCAAAAATGTATAGGGTGGGGCGTTGATCTTGGACACCACATTATCTCAGAAACTATAAGGGCCGGAGCAAAAAGTTAAATACAAAAGTTAATAAGGGTGTTACAAACCTTTAATTTGTTTTAATTTTTTATATACAGGGTGTTTAATTTTTCGTGGGCGAGTATCAACTCTCTCATTTTAAATAGAACACCTGGCATATTACTTTATTTTGGACTTCTATACTAAATTCTATACATATTTTGCTTACAATGTCCTATGCCTAAGTCTAACCATTTTTGACATTTCTAACTTTTAATGAGAAAAATTACGTTTTGCAGGACACAAAATATCTGGAAATTTCTTCATTCGGAAGCATTTATTGTTTCACTTGAGTAAGTTTTGTTGTAGACATGGCACATAACGGATTTCATATGAAATTTCGATACATATTAATACAGGGTAAGTGAAAAATTAAATCAAAGTATGGTGCGCCATTTGGAGCATC